TATTATAAATATTTAAGCTTGGTGGCAGATAAAAAATAATAATTATTAAATAAATTTATTCATAATGTCAGTTGACTAACAGAGCAATTTAGGGACGAATTGTATCAAGCATGATTCCAATATATCCACACCATCGAGGAAGAGATGGACTTCTACTGAAGATGATATTTTACATTCAGCCATTGAAAAATACGGAACAAATTGGTGTTAAGTTGCCCAAAGCTTTTCAAACAGAAACCCAAATTCATGTATTTAAAGGTGGAAAAGGATGAATGGAAAGAATGTAATTATTATCTTTAACAGAAAGAAGCAAAAACTCTAGAAATGGAGTTTAAAAGAAGACTAATTACTTTCAAAATTAGTAGGGTTGTATGGAAGAAAGTGGAAAAAGATCTCAAAATACTTTACACCTAAAACCAATAAGTAATGCATGGAGAGATACAACAATTGCCTGAACCCAAATCTCAATAAGAACCCTTTCTCATTAGAAGAAGATTAGATAATTTATGAAAATTATCTCATCTTTGGTTCAAAATGGTCTAGGATTGCAAAGTGCCTAACTAAAAGAACTGTAATATTAATTGTATTTAGTTCAGCACAATTAAGTTAAAAATCGATTTTATACTCACATACTTTCTTCACATCTGTAATTAGTAAATCCATACTACACCAAACTACTCCCAGAAAGAGCTAAAGAAATCCTAATCGAAGTCAGAAAGGAGCATTAATAAAAATTGTTATAAGATAGTTTAAAAGAATAAAAAGCTCATTTGATCTAATCTGCATTTGATGTTGACTCAATCTAAGTCGAATAGGAAGATGATTATTCTAATCATCATAGATTTGTATGATGACAAAAATTAAATATATTTAAAAATAAAAAAAGATATTATATGTTTTAATTAAGTCTGTATAAGAAAAATTGTTCTTATATTTCTCTGATATTGAGGATCAAACTAAAGTGCTTACTAATTTCTAAATTTTTTAGTAGGAACTTGAAAAAAACGAATAGTACGAACATAACGAATTAATTTATCAAAAATTTATAGCGATATATATAAAAGTAGTCCAAAGTCTCTTATATATATTAGTATTTCATCTAAATTTTCAATTATTTTTTCGTTTGCAAAACTTTAAGTATACATTTATTTATAAACTATCATTTATATTTGATTTGCTTACTCAAAATTTTGATGTCTTTATGGAGTTTATTTCTAAAATATTAACTATTTCATAATGACACACTGATATATATTATCAGGATACAAAATGATTTTCAAATTTTGATGATGATGTATTTTCTCTTTTTATTTTTATTTCCTAATATTAATAATCAGGCAAAGAATTATGAATTAAAATTCATAAAAAAAATAAAGAAAATATATTACAAATATTTTGAATCGCTTTTGAATGTATTGGAGTATGTTTTATCAATTGGTTATTCATAATATCTTAAACCAAATTTCTTAATATTGAATGAATTAAGATAACTATTTCATATTTGTATAATTTTTTGATTAGATTTAAATATTTTTTAATCTTAATTAATTAATGAAAATTTATATGTATTATAAAATATTGATATTATAATTTTTATTAATTATTTTTCAGGTGAGAAAATTAACACCTATCATTTATCAAATGAATATAGTAAAATTACGTCAATCTATTATTGGAACCTGGTTTACACTAATTGCCTACAAATCCGTTTTTCTACAATTTTAATCTTAAACTTTTTATTCTCAAAAAGACTTAAAGGATGTATAAGAGATGGCATAAAAAGGTACTATCAAAAACAATTCTTCCTATATTAGAAGTGCATCAAATAATAATTATGATGCAAAACATGCCTAAAAAATAGACTTTATTTTAAATAAATTCATAATTAAATTTAGAATCGTAGAAAACGATATTTTCCTAAAATTATTTTTTCTTCTTTCTTCTTCTAGTGTTTGATTATAAAAAAATTGATAAGATATCAATAAGTGCTAATATTATTTACTTAAATTTAGTGATTAATCTCATCATTAAATCTTAACTAGATCTAACATTTATTAACACAATAATAAGATTTCAAAGTCATTGGGAAATCATAAATTTATTTCTTGAGGCTCTATTTTATATTCTCTTTTTTCTTCAGTTTAAATCTTAAATATTTTAGGACAAAAATATTCATTTAAATCATCTTTCTGAAGTGGTTTAATTATTATTGATAGATAGGAGAGTTTTCGTTCATCACAATCAATTGTTTTCTTATAAATCTTCAAAGTTGAGTATTGTCACTGATCAATATTCAAATCTGATCACATTACATTTTTGAAAATGCTATTTCAGAAAGTTAAGAAAATCAATTAATATGATGTTAAAATTTAATTTTCAATAAGAATGTCCCTAACTCAACAAAGCCTGTGTTTATAATGGCGAATAGATTTAAAACTCACATATTCCATTACTATGCTGCTCTTAAATTATTAAATTATGGAATTAAATTTTCAATCATCTCTACACATTATAACCTAAATTAATACCCCTCTTTTATTCTGAACAAATATCTTCATCAACACTATAACCGAATAATATAAGAACAAGAAATAATTTGATAAAGTATTTTTTGCCAATAACTAAATATTTATTATTCAAATTGGTTTGTCGACATAGAATTTTGAATAGTATTACTACTTTATGCACTAATTAATAGATATTCATCTTTTCATCTTAATCTTACTTAAATTTAAAATAAAGAATTCTGATATAATATAGCCTTCCAGAATGTTTAATTTTAATATTTTAGCAAATAAATTTAAGAAATTGAGATAAATTTTTAATTAAGTAATTATTATGGAATTTCAATATATTTTATTAGCACCTGTGGTTTTGCTAGTGGGAATCATAATATATTTTTTGAAGTCTAAATCAGAATCTAAATAGAACCAACAACCTTAATAAGTTATCAGTGGTGAAGAAAAGAAAATTCAATGTCAAGATCAATTAATTCCAATCTCAATTTATTTTGGATCTCAATAAGGCACAGCAGCTCGATTTGCCAAATAATTATCTGAAGAAGGAAAAGAACATGGATTTATTACAACAGAGATAGATCTCAATGAAGTAGAATTTGAGAATGAGATGAAAAAGGGAAAAGTTGGAATCTTTTGCATGGCTACTCATGGGGAGGGAGATCCTACAGACAATGCAAAAAAATTCATAAGCTGGTTATAAGAGCCTTAACCATCATTAGTTGGATTTCAATTTGCTGTTTTTGGACTTGGCAATAGACAATACGAACATTACAATAAAATTGGAAAACTTACTAACAATCTTTTGGAAGGCTAAAAAGGTGTGAGATGCTACTAGTATGGTGAAGGAGATGCCAACAGTACATTAGAAGATGACTTCATAGATTGGAAAAAAGACTTGTGGAATGAATTGAAGATTTCTTTAAAGGATTTAATTGATTAAGCAAAAAATTGCTAAGTTTAATAAGAAGTTCAAGAAAATCCTGAAAGTACTAACGACAACACAAACACTGGATCAACATTCAAACTTGTGGTTAGTAATAGTGAAGAGATTAATTTTGATTAAGCTCTGCAAGGATAATACGATTTTCAAACTAAATAGTTTTTAAAAGCAAAATGTAAATATTTATATTATATTTAGATTGCCAAGTTGTTTCAATTTCTTAATTAAGGTAAAATCAAAAGGATGGTTCAACACTTCAAATCATATTCGATACAGGTAGAGAAGGAATCGAATATAAAACAGCAATGAATTTAGGAGTTTATCCTGAAAATGATGATCAACAAATTCTCGAGATTGCAAATTATTTAGGAGAAAATCTTGACACTGTTTATAGTTTGGAATTACTATAATAGAATAATAGAGCAAAGGTTCCTTTTCCTTCTCCTTTAAGTGTGAGAAAGATTTTGAAGCACTTTGTGGATTTTAATGGTTAGTTAATGAAAAACACATTAACAAAATTGTCAAAGATTTCAAGTAATGATGAAAAATTAAAGAACTAATTAATCCAATTAACAACAGAGGAAGGAAAAGCAGGCTTCTAGAACTTAGTTGATAATATGAAAACTACAATCTACTAATTGATTAAAGAAAACAATATCAAATTAAATTTAGCATAGTTTATCGAACTTTGTCCAAGAATTAGCCCAAGATTATTCACAATAGCATCATCAAACTTAAAAAATCCTTAACATGTTGAAATTGCTGATAGCTTATTAATTGATACACTACCAAATGGAACTGAAAAATTAGGTTTATGTTCATAGTATTTCATAAATGTCCAAAAGAAACTCTTAGAAGGGGTAAAATATATAGTAATGTTAGGAATGCGTTAGAGTTAGAGTTGATTTCAGAGAATCAAGTTTCAAATTACCAGATGATCCAAATAAATCCATAATTATGGTAGGACCAGGAACTGGAATAGCTCCATTTATTGGGTTTTTATAAGAAAGAGAAATCTTTTTATAAAGTCAACCTCAAAGACAAAATGAATATATTCTATACTTCGGATGTAAACACCAAGATGGAGATTTCATTTATAAAGATTAACTAAGAGAGTTTGAAAGATCAAAAACCATTGATAGATTTTATACAGCATTCTCAAGGGATCAGGAATAGAAATGTTATGTGTAAGATTTGCTTAAACGCAACTCTGAAGAGTTATATAATTAGATATTAAATGATAAGGTTGTCATTTATATATGCGGGTAATTAATAATGTTAATGTAGATCGACAAGCATGGGAAATTCGGTTTAAAATTTGATTAAAGAGATACTAAGTACAAATGGTAATTGGACAGAACATGAAGCTGAAGAAAAGATATAAAGTATGGAGAAATAAAAATTACTCATCAAAGAACTATGGTGATTTAGATTAATTGTATAAATAAAAAAATTATTATCAATTTAAAAATATATAAATAACAATGAAAAAAAGATAACTTGAAAGAGATGAGGAGGGCAATTTAGTTATGAATGAGCAAAATATTATCGAGATATGCGAAAAAGAAGGCTTATATGAGTATCCAGAGTTGAATTCGAAATTATATCTTCATTTTAAAGGTAATTTAGATTTTTAATTTAAAGCATTCAGAAAAATCGGTGGTTTGGACAATTTCATAAATGTTAAGACTCTCTGGTTAGAGAATAACTTTATCACAAAAATAGAGGGATTAGAAAATCTATAATAACTCACACATTTATTCTTATAAAATAATCTAATTTAAAAGATTGAAGGACTGAAAGAAAACTTAGAATTGATTACATTGAATTTATCCCATAACTGTATTAAAGTGGTAGAAAATTTGCAGAAGCTCTAAAAGCTATCCAGTTTGGATTTATCAACAAACAAATTCAAATCAGTTTCTGATATTTGGGAATTAGAACTAAACCAGCAAATATCTAATTTAGACTTATCCAATAACATGCTTGAATTTGAAGGAGAACATGAAGACGATCCATTATTGTTAATATTTAAAAAAATGCCAAAATTAAAGTGTCTCTACTTATAGAGAAATAATTACATACGATCAATTCAAAATTACAGAAAAGTATTAATTCTACCTTAATCTAGTATTATCTTGCCAATTTACCTGAATTAACATATTTAGACACTTAACCTGTATTTCCTAATGAAAGAAGAATAGTGGACGCATGGGGAAAACTGGGAAAAGAAGGAGAATAAATAGAAAGATAAAGTATCACTTAATATTTATTAAATAGAAATAAAAGAAGAAGAGGATGCTAAGAAGTAGGAATATCGAGATGAGATAAAAAAATAATTACCTATTCATTTGTAGAGCAAGATTAATTTCTTCCAAAAAAATATCAACGCTATTGAAACTGAGATATAAGAGATGTAGGCTAGAAAATAAAATCATATTGAATAAAATAGTCAAGAAATTGAAATTACATTTTTAGATGCCTCTATTGATTAGAAATAATCTCAACTTAATGAAATGAATGAGTTACTTAATAATATGAAGGTTAGACAAATAAGATAAAACTCACTCACTGAATCATAACTAATTGAATAAAGAGAAGAGTAATAATAAAAAATCCAAATTTAACTTGATGAAATAGATTGAAATGCCTTATGTAATATAAATTAAATTATTCATTCATATATTTTTTAATATTTTTTTGCTAAATCCTTCATTTTTGAATCCTACTTACGAAGCAATATTAATCGATATAGAGCAGAACAAATTCTTTTATTGTCTTATCGCAAATGATATTATTCAAATGTTGAAATTAAATCCTTATTTTACAGACTAAACCATATAGAAATGTCTTTAATTTCAGCCAACTATTGTTTAATTCTCATTTGTAAGACATTGCTGGAAATTTATTTTTCTAAAAAGTTTTGTAAAGTCTGAAATTCTAAGCTAAGCAATTCAAAATATACATCCTAGCTTATATTTTATAATTTGTTAAGATCGAAAATGCTGTAGAATAACACTATAGGAATATTAATATAAGTACCATCAAAAAATGAGCCAATAAAAAAATCATAAAATACAGGGAAGTAGTTAACTGGTAGCTTCTAATTGAATATTACAAAAAAATCCTTAATTTCATCTATTTATTGAAGCATAGACCATTCTGATTTTTACTAGTAACTCTTTGCATCAGTCATTGATTTTAAATCTTAATGGAGAGGACTAAATAAATTAGGAGAGACAATTTCGTTAATAAGAATTTTTGAAATACTTTTGCAAATTGCTTTACCCTTAGTATTGAAATCACTGGTGAGATGATCTAGAGCTTCAAGTTTTAATTATTCTTTTAGATGCTAGAATTATTATTACAAGAAATTAAGATTACAAATTCTCATCATCATTTCAATAACAAGGTGTATTTATTGTTATGCTAATTGTTTTTAATCAAGAGGAATGCTTTATTTACTTTTTACTACTGCAGGAAACCAGGGCGTTACTAAATTTGCTCTTTGTTGAAGATTTTATTCCATCTATTCCAAATACATTAATATAGCAGTGTAGAGTATATGTTCCATTTTGCTATTAATTGTTTTTTTGAAAAGATTATCATTCTTAAATTTAACCACTTATTGCAAAGCTTCTAAGGATTTAAATAAAATCGAACAAAAGTCTTCGATACTTTTAGTTTATGTTTGTTGCATAAGTTCTTTGAAAGACAAACTTTCATCAAGATATTTTTCCTTAGAAAGCAATGATTATAAAATTTTTAATGTATTTTCTTGAGATTATTGAAACCACATTTCTATTGATCGACCAATAATTTGGATTGCTTTGGAGTTTAGATTATTAGGTTAGATTTGATCATCCACTAAGGCTAAAGCGAAACATATGGAAAAAGCACTTAATATATACAATCATTTAATACTTTCCATTTTTATCTTCAGGAATTAACCCTTTTTAGATGCAGAGCTCAACTTATTGAAGGATTAAGAATATTTCTGACAACGCTCCAGTCATAAAATGAAGGAAAAACAAATTCTAATTGTTTTTATTATCAGGTAATAAATGCTATATGCCCTTCTAAAAATAATCAATATACTGTTCTTTTAATTCAAGGCATTCCTTACACATTAAAGATAACAGAATGGAAACTTAATTAAAAGTTTTTTCAGTTAATTGATTTTACTAAAACTGTTCCCTTTTAATGATCATACTGTAATAATGATGACCTGTTTACTCCATGATTTTTAGCATTAAATCGTTTGTATTTTGGCATTCAGTGAACTCAAGCGAAATGCTTGCAACTATATAAAATAAATTCATGAATGCAATTAGGAACGATTAATCGCTTGGTAATTAGGACCAAAAACTAGTTGTAAGTCCTAATAAATCTTTATATAATCTATCAGAATTTTTCTATTTCAAAACAAATTGCAACTAGGATTAATTAATTACCTTTTCTTTATTTATAATATCCCACAATTACTGGGTTAACTATTATGTAATAACAACAGCGTCTTTGATGTCTAAGTTTTTTATTCTTAAGGCAGGTTATAAGATTTTTTGATAAACTAAAGAGAGTAAAGTAATGCTGACATGTGCCGGTGACAGTTTTAGTACATCATATGCGAATTAGTATATTAAAGGAACAAAATCCATATCTATAGTTGTTGCTTATATGATTGCAGATAGAATAAGCTCTAATAAGCATTGATTTAATGGATAAGAGATTTCTTCAACTTGAGAATCAAAACTTACTTGAGCCATATCTTTTTCGTCTATTATTATCTATTTAAGCAGATTAGTAAAATATTTTTTCTATTGCTCTAATTAGGAATTTTGGATGTGAAATGCCTATAATAATAAACACTAGACCCAATACTAATTTAAAGTGGAAAACAATAAAAGCTTTTTTAGAATCACATAATGCTTTTCATTATTTTTTATTTCATTGTATAGTTAGGGTGTTTTGATTACGGTCAAAGCATCTTTGATTAAAGAAATAAATATGGAATTAGTAACAGATGATTCCATGTTTGAAGTAATGGTAGTTGAAAACTATTCCAATAGTTTCATAGAAGCTAAATTAATTTTGAATTTATTTTTTGTGTGAGTTACAAGAAGTGGCCAATCTTAATTTTAACACTTATATCTGAGCATCATTAATAAGGCGAATTAATAAAATTCTTGCTGCTAGAATTCCTTTGCGAGATCCCTAATTGTTAAATAGAAGTTAAATACATATTATTTGGGATTTCATTGTTAAATATACCAACTTAATCTTTAATTATAATGGGCAATTATTTAGTATTGCAACAATTAGCATAGTTTTTTCTGATTTCAAGTAGTTTGTCTTTGTGAGACTATAAGAGATCAGTTTCATTAATGGAGGGCTTTTCAGTTTATTTCGATTATCCTGCTCCTGAGGTATTGAGTGCTTTACCACTTTGGTTTACAGATTAGGCTTATAATTAATTTTTTATTCTTTCCAAGGCTTGTTATTCTGGTTGGACTGTATCAAAAAATTGTATTTATAGCATTAATTATTTGCTAATAATCTCCGCATGCCTTTTTTAGATGTGAATTGGTACTCTTTTTGTTGGATGTAAAATTTTTTAAAGGAATCAATGATTTTGGCATTTTTTTTCTTTTCTGAGATGATGGCAGCTTCAATATTATTCTACATGGCTATGATTGCAGATTAAGAGAATTGATCTATCTACTATTTTTCAACATTTTTTGCACTCACTAATTAATCTCTTTCTTTTTTTTATTGATCACACTAGAATATGTATAAAGCCTACTTTCTACATTACATTTTCTTTGTTTTGCTTGATTTCTAGGTAGGTTTAAACAATATCTTATTCTAGTTGATTAACATTTTCTGATAATAGTCCTAGAATGTCACTAATTTTGGATGTGGAGATAATATTTTTATCGATGAACTCTTTGATAGTTTTATTTTCAAATTCTCTGCAAGTAACTAATTTTAGGTTTGATTCTACATTCTTTTCTTGTCAATTTTATTAATTATTCTGAGATGGATTTCAGAATGCCTTAGTAATCTTTTAAATATGAACTGAATTCTTTTAAGGTGGTCTTTTAGTGGGACATCTGAAGACTCAATTATTGCTTTGTATACTATGTCATTAGTTAATATGTTACATCTATTTCTTAATACAATAATTTTTTTGAGCTCATAATTATATTATTAATATTACCCGTTTTAATGAAGTTTGTTATATTTGTTGTAGTTGGTCTTGCTTTGGCAGCTCCACTTTCAGGAGATTTGGCTTAGTTGTCTCTTTTGTAAACACCCAAAGAGGAGGTGTTAGAACAATTGGGCGATTTGTTGAGCGAATTACGAAAAGAATAAACGATGGATGATACTTAACTTGCTCAAGTAATTATTTAGATATTATTCAGACTAATGCGAAGTTCGAAGCTGATATATTAATATCCTAATCCTAACTAGAAGCTCAAGTGAACTAATTAAAAGCAACAAACACCTTAATTGGAGATTTGAGCGAAGAAATCTACTCAATCTCTAAAACCTATGCTAATTTGAATTAACAATTATCAGATTTAGGGGCTAGAGACACCTAATTAAGAGATTCATTAGCAAATGAAGGAGCTGCTTTTGAAGTAAATACCTCAAATAAAATTTTAGAACGAATCCTCATAAGCAAGAAGATCAATTAATGGTCTTACATAGATCATATCCAAATTGACAGATGCTGTCTTGTCTCAATAATCATTAATTGAAAAATAAGAAATAGTGAATGTGATGAAATAAGAATTGGGATCAAAGCATCCAATTGCATTATTGGTAGAAGTCACTTCAAAGTTTGATAAAGCCACAGTCTAAAACATCATCCTTAAGTTGGAACACATTCAATCATAATAAGAATAACAATTGATACAATCAGAACAAAATTGGACCGTGTAATAATAGACATATTAAACTCTACTCAATGAAATTTCAGAAGTATCCAAAAAATTGAGTTTTGATGCTTCCACCGCCAAGACTTCAATTGCCAAGAAATCAAATGAAAAAGTCACTGCAGAAAAAAGAAAGGCTTAACTTGAGACCACCATCCCCTAAACTGAATAAGTGTTGACCAACCTTAAATAATAATAAGATTAGTATAATTTGGCATATTCTGCAAGAAAACAAAAGAGGTATATTAGATAAAATTATAAATTAATTTAGAACTTAAGAAGTTGAAACCTTAAAGAGCGCTTTTGAGTTGCTAGAAAAAAAATTAAGATGATGGCCATATATATTCAATTTAAATATTATATTGTTATGATCTTGTTGATATAATTATATTCAATTTAACATAATGGCCAACAAGATTGATCCATAAAGGATGAATTCTGAGCTAGAATCGGGCTCTTGACAAATTTCGCATTTCTTGGTATCTGGATTCCAAGCATAAGAATAAAGGGTATAAGCTAAACATTAGGTTTACGTTAAAGTTGTGGTATCTAAATCTGAACATTTGGTTCCATCCCATTTACAAAAAGTAACTTATTTTGCATCAAGTGAGAAAAATAACATACAAGAACTCTCTGGCAAAATAGAACAACTTAATGGTTTGCAAGTGTCACCCCAGTAGCAGGAATTAGTGTTGCAAACATCTATGCTTGTATAATCAGAACATTGAGTTATTGTTTTGGTTTCACAAGTTTAGGCTGAAACATTCTTCACACATTGTTTACCATCGCTAGTTACAAGCCAGTTACATTCACTATAAGGTATTTTATCGCAACTTCCGATACTTAAAGCGGATTCTTATGTTCTATCCATACATTTCACAGTTCCAGCTGTTAAATCGATTGTGTCGGCATCTACTTAACATTTTATCAATTCATAACAATAATCTCCTTCTGTGGTTTTGTATGAATAATCAGAACATGATGTGAAATCCTCACACTTACTAGTTTTGTAATTCCAAATACAGTTAAATGGGTCTGGAACTCCTTGGCAATCATTTTTGCTGAATGATGAGCATGCTTTGTTTGAACATGTCGACCCGTTAGGATCCCAAGTGCAATAATCGCTTAAGCAATCTGCTTGTTGTAACAGATTCTCGCATGAACACTGATACACACTGCCTAGTTATAAAGTGACTGAATTTGCTATGAAGAACAAAGTGAATCCAATTAAATATATCTTCATTATGTTTTTTATGATTTAAATTAAGATTTTTTGGTTTTATCAAAATCAGAATTTATAGGACAATATACATTAGAAAAACGCAAATTCTAAGTATGATTTTAGAAATTCTTAATAAGAAATACTGGTTCAATTATTCTTCAGTTTGTTTCGATGATTGTCCAAAATATTCTATTGTGGAGCAAACAATTTTGGTAAATTCGTATATAATTTTATTAATAACATAAATAAGAATGGATAGTAGTCCAAGGTGTCCTTTTGGATTTTAGACAGAACCAAGCAATGATTCACCGGTGAAGAAAGTTAGTTTTAAGGAATTTCTTATTCAGAGATAGAGTGTTCATAAACCCTCATTACCTACAGTTGTCTAACAAAAAAATAGGAGATGGGAAAAACAATTAAGTTCTTTATTGACACCTGAGATCCTTTCCTTCAGACAAGTGCAATCAAATCAGCAAATACCTTTAAATGAAATAGTGAAGGTAGCGAGAATCACTAATACAAAAACTAACTATGAGTACAATTTAATATTATTGTAGTAAAGAACAAGAATTTAAGAAAACGAAATCTGAATCATTATAAATACCAATGCTCAACATTCCTATGATGCCGACAAATGGATTTTTCAAATTTCAACCCCAACATCGTATGAGAAAAACTGGAATGTATAGTCTTAGAAATTGTAATGAATAACTAGAATAAATCAACAGAAAATAAAAGTCCAATGTTAACAACTTTTCTCTGCCCTAATTAACGCAGGAAGAGATTATTACCTAATTTTTCCAAACGAAATTTTAAAAGTCAAATGAAAATGATGTAATTCAGCATTTATAGATAATTTAGGAATTACAACATAAACCAATTGGATCTAGTGCAAGATTAGATTACGAGGCAAACATTCTTTTCACTAAGATCACTTCCGATAGCATCTTATAGTAAAAATACAAAGGAAGACATATCAAACATTTAAAAGAAGTTTATCGCAGTTTATTAGGTGTTGGGTACGACAAGGAAATAATGATGGACCCTGGAAGACTAAAAAGCATTCATTCCTAATTAAATATAAAAAATGATTAGTTTTTAAGATTTAAATACTTATTCATCAATTAGTTTCTCGAAATGGAAACTCCTTTAGATTTATTTTTTAAAGGTTGTCACAAAATAGAAAGCTTCAAACCTTTAGTTTTAAATAAGGTATGTAATCAAATTTATTTATAGCCTCTAGATTTCGAAATCTATGGTTAGGATGTAGGAATTTAGAAAATCACATAATCTATGTATGATAAAATATTCAAAGACTACACTCTTTCTCCATATTTCATATTGATAGACAAGGAAACTCAAGCAAAGAAATTCTCTCGTTTATTTGCACAATTGATTGATCACACTGACTCTCCCAACTATACTCTAGAGATATTAAGAGAAAGACATATTTAATATAATTTAACTTTAGTTCAGTTTGCAAATTTTAAATTTTATCTTTCTATGACTTTGCAATAGTAATAAATAGGATTCAAGCATATCAGATAATTGTTGAGAAAAATGGACACTTACAAATATGCGATTTTGAACAAGGAGAGTTTGTAAGAAACCATAAATGCCTTTGGATATAGAGAATTTATTGATGGATTGGTGAAGTAATGTTAAACTGAACCAATCTTATACGAATTATTTAATAAGCGTGGTAAGTATAGATTTACGGCTCATTGTGAAAATATGATACATTTTTTTTTTCGCGATAATGTCAAATCTATAACAATTTAAGACATTGAATAAGTGCATAAATGCAATGCAATCATTTAAGAGAAGGTTTTTTCAAAAATTAAAGAACACACCTTTTAGGCTCTAATGAAAATTACAAAGGATTCTCTCATACTCTCTGATTTTGAAGAAGATTGGGAGGAAATCAAACCATTTATAATGAATAAATCAAAAAATCAAATTGTGAAATAATTGGGAGGATAAACTTTTATCAATAACCTTGCTTCCACTTTGGCATTTGAAATGCAACAAAGACCTCAATTAAACAAAGTCTTTGAGGTAATTCTTGAAGTCAATTATTATTTTTTAGGACAATGATACTTGTGTAGCCTAAAATTTGAAATGCAAACTGAATTTAATGCTTTATGGAATTCATTTTTATAAGAAAACAGAGTTGGAGGTGCTTCACAAAAGATTAAAAATATCAGAATAAGTTTACTTTGAATTTTAATAAGTAAGAGTCCATTAATATATATAAGGCCACAAAACATGTTCTTGAAAATTTTCCTAAATTGTCATGGTTAAATAAGGTATTGGAAGACTATAAAAAACATATTGTTTCTGATTTTTGATGATAACTTTACAACATATTTGTTATTTGATTATAATGAATGTTTTTAATAATTATAATAATGTTTTCTGAGTCAGAACACTCAAAGTCAGTTAAAACTTGTTAATTCAAAGAATTTATAGAACTGTTGTCAACTGATAGAAAGCCAATCCTGCCAATCTTAAATAAAAGAAAATCTCAGTAAACTCTTGGAAGCATTATACACCATAATAACGAAAGTTCACAACTAAAAGATATCCAATTAGCCTAGAATATACGACATGTATAAAATAATAATATTATTGAATATGCCTCAAGCTTGTCGTAGTTAAGGTTTGATAGCTATTTAAACTTAACAATATGACTCAGACATCAATAGTGTCAAATTTAAATAATTTGCAGATAGTCCTTCATATAAAACCTCAAATCATATAGTTTCTTACGAAAAAAGCAGTTTTAGTTAGCATTTTCGAATAACATCTTAAAGATCAAGTCCACAGTAAAAAAAAGTGAACTTAATAAGAAATCATCAGTTGTTTGTTGATTTAGTTAAGGGGACGGAGAAAATAAAAAATGATGTAATTTGTCCTCATAGTCCTTAACTCTAGAAGTCGCAACAATAGATCATTTCAGGATATCTGAAAGATTTGGCAAGGTAAATGTACTATGTAAATAAAATAGAAAAAGGAGAGTCGTTCAAAAACCATAAGGGATTGATGCAAGATTGGATTTTGAGACTGAATTAATTTATTCAGCATTGACATAAGATTGCGATTTGGCAAAGAAGTTTTAGAATAAAACAGGAAACCATGTCAAACAAATCTTTAGGAACATATTGGCAACTGGATATGATCAATAAATCTATTTAGATTTAAATAGGATAAGGAGTATTCATTTGTGTTTGAACTTAAAGAATTTTCATTTCTTTAGATTTAAATATCATTTCATGAATAGATTTATGTAAATGGGGATACCAGTCGAATAGTTATTCAAATGTTGTGAGAGAATTGAAAATGTTAGGCCTTATATTTTGAATGAGAAAATGGAGTATGACGTATATGGTGGTTAAGATGGTATAGAGTTATGCGCAAATTAAATGTATGCTAAAATCTTTGCTGATATAACGTTGGAATATTACTTTGTGGGAATAGATCGAGCAACTCAAGCATCAAAATTTGCGAAATTGTTTTTCCAATTGATTTATCATATGGACTCTCCAAATTATACTAATGAAGTTTTAAGAGAGAGACATGTCAAATACGAATTAACAAATGTGTAACTTACTAATTTCAAATTTTATCTCTGTTTAACTCTTTAACAATTAAAAGTTCCCTTTAAATATGCCAGTGCTTTGCTAAGAAGAATGGATATCTACAAATATGCTATCATAAATAAAAATAGTCTCTAGGATTACGTATGCAATTACGGATACAATTAATTCATAGATTAATTTGTAAGAAGTTGTTTGGAAGAGCCTGTGTTATTTGATTTAATCTAAAGAAGGGGGAAGGCTAAATTTACATGTCATTGTGAAAACATATTCCATTACTTTTTTCGATACAACGTAAAGGCAATTACTTTAGATGATCTCGAGGAAATTCACTATCACAAAACTATAATTACTGAGAAGATCTTTATGAAGTTGAAGGAAAAGGCCATGGCTGAAGTAGCGAAACTTACTAACGATCGTATAGTTTTGGAAGACTTTGACGAGGATTGGGATGAAATAAAACCTCTGATTTTGAGTGATCCTAGGATGTCCTTTCTCAAAACCAAGGATAGAGATCTCTTGATCAATGAATTGGCATATAATTTGGAGAATGAGTTCTACTCGAGATAACTCAATGTGATATATGAGGTATTGTTGCATTAATAGTTTAGACAGAGGAGATCAACATGATGAGGAATATCAAGAGTAAGTTGAACCTGTTGGTGTATACTATCAAATTTTTTAAGAGGACTGACTTGGAAGTAATTCATAGAAGATTCAGGATCAGTGAAAGTTAGTATTTCGATTTTTAATAAAGCTTTAAATCACTTTTAGATAGGATTCCAGAACTTCATTATATACATGGATTATTGGAAGAATATAAAAAATATATTGTTTCGGATTGATATCTTAATTTATTATTTTTACGATTATATTTTTTATAGTGTTTAAATTTCATAATTTAAATCATAATAAAATATTAATGAGTGACTAATTTCATTAACTGAGTGATAAATGGACCATCTCTGAGAAGTATACCTAAAATAAAGATGACGATTACAAAAAGACAATAGCTGAAATATGCTCGATCAGAAGTGTTGAGGAATTTGCATTTATCATGAAATAAACAATCTATTAGAGTTTAACAGATTTATTCAGCGAGCCATAATAATAAAAATAGTATCAATTCTTGATTCTATGATAGATTCAAAAATTTTAAGAACAATGCTATAGAGACTCAAATTGAAGCGATCTAATTTTTCAAAAATGGTATTAGCCCTTTGTGGGAAGATCCTGAAAACGAAAAAGGAGGTGACATACAATTTGAGGTTCCTATTGCCTTAATTGGCATTTACAATCAACTCTACACTGAAATAATACATGAGATTATAGGGTAACAAAAGGAGGAGCTAAGGCATGTAAGATTTGGAATTAATCAAGGTTAATGGAGTGAGAGTTCTAGATAAAATAAATGCCCCCAAGGGTAATGGAATCAGAATAGAATTGTGGTTGGATATTGATCCTACGGATAAAAACGAGGAGGTATAAATCCAGATTAAAAAAATTGATGATTGGATTCTTCAATTAGCAGAATTATTTGATATTAGATAACTTAAATTAAAAACTTAATCACACAAGAAAAAATGATATGGGTTATTTTTGCAGGTTAAAATAAATAAACTTATCAAATATTTTTATAATATACTTGTTATTTAGACAATCAATTTATAAAACGACTAATTTCAAGAGCCAAATTTACGACATCTTCAATTGGTGGCATATGACCAACACCTGGTCTTATGATGAGTGTGCATTTTTCTTCTCCAATCTCTTTAGCATTACCTTCTGCGAAAACCTTAGGTATCACTATATCCAATTCTCCATGATAAATCAACACAGGTCCCTTGATCTGAGAAGCCTTGTTTGCACCTCCAGAACTTGAAATAGTAATAAAAATTACGAAATGTCGAACTGGTTTAAGGCCCAACAAACATTAGTATATTAGGTTTGTAAAAATGTTTCATCCAATAATTATTTATATTCTTGTTCTTCTGGATATTTGCCACTGTTGAATAATACCTTATCAAAGAACATCTTCATGAATTCTCTGTCCTTATCAGACAATTTTTGTTGTTGTAATGCTACTTTGGGATGTTCTTTTACTTACTATTTTGTTTGACATCTGACCTGTCCCTCTTCATCTTCTCTCATTAATGCATAACCACATACACTTCCTGATGCTATCAATATGAGTTTTTAATATTTGTTAGGATAATCCACTGCCAATTGCATACCTACAATTCCACCTAAAGACCATCCTGCCAAAAAAACATGCTCTTGATAGTACTCATCATTCTTATCTGATAATAAGGATTTCAATAAAATATCCACATCGTTAGATAAGTCAGTAATTTGATCTACATTTTAATTACTTTGGGATCTTCCAAATCCTCTTAAATCCATACTTATACAACGGATCTTGGAATTGACCTATTGAATTTATTGTATCAATCTTTTCCAATATTTACAAGTTATTAGATTTCCATGAATCAAAACTAAAATGTGATCGTAAGCATTGTCGTTGCTGTGAGTATCTTCGTAATATAATTCATTTTTGATATCCATGCTTCTAAAATTTATAAAAATATTTATTTAATGAAAATAATATCAGTTATTGGATATAGTTTCTAAAATAATAAACACGTCAATGGCATATAAATTAAGTGAATTATTCATGTTAAGTTATTTATAAAATATAAAAATATCGATTTGAATACATATTATTATTTTAATTAAAATGATACTCATTGCAATGAGATACTAAAGACCATAGTTTCATGCAAGTCAAGTAGTAAAGAATGCTATTCAAAGAAGAAAAGGTATAACAATATCATCTAAACTGAAATTAGACAGAAAGAATGTTATGCAAGAGCATTTGGAACGACTAGCCGATAAATTAGAATACAAAGCATTCCCATATCATATCACTCATTATGACCCTGCCCATGAAGATTACATTCCTGCTTAGAGACAAGATTACAAGTAGAGATTAACAGTCGACACTCACAACATGCTCGTTGATGGAGTGAAGAGAGATGTGACAATGCAAAGATAAGTAGATCAAGCAATCAAGAACTTGGATAGACCTTATTTAAAGGGTAAATCCGGAGTAACAAAGAACATCACTGGAGGATTGAGAGATTATTTTCCAATTGAAATGCCTTATGCATAGGCAGGCAACTTACAAAATGAAGAGTTGGAATATGAGAATGTTTTCAGAAATGAAAAACGATGGATAGCATAAACCATTGCTCCCAGAGAAAGAACAGAGAGTGAAAAGAGACACGAAAAAGAATTGGAATCAAGGCCAGTTACCAGGAATTACCATCCAGATAAAGGTTCTAAATATGATGTGGAAACACCATATCATTTGAGATTCCCATATTTAGCAGATAGATTGGGACATCCTGAATTTTTAGCAAATCCATTCTAAAGATTATTTAGATTAGAAAGCGATATGTATCATCCAAGTTACAATGATCAACCATTTGTCCAACATCCATCAGCTGATCCTGATCCCACTTTGAACTTCGAAGAAGGAGAAGTGGTTTATGAAAACACAAGATTAAGAGAATGGTTGAAATTCGTATGGTGGACTGGAACCTTCAGTTTTGCCTGGATTTGCTGGGTGTTGCCATACAATATTGTCTATAAGACCAACTTAATGTTTGATCATTAAATCGATGCTTCATTCTATCCTTATCATTTATAATCCATCTACAACATGGATTACATGAGAATCAACGTCTTGGCAGCCACTGCAGCTTCTGCCTATCTTTGGTATTTCCATCACATGTCCATGAATGATATTGGAAGGAATTATGTCACTAAAGTACAGTACAGCAAAGACAAAGAATTAGTCTTTGTTACTAGAATGGGCTCATTCGGAGTTGTTAGAGAAGATGTCTTCGAAACTCATCATTTAGAAGTCTTACCCTATTATACCAAATCAGGTGTTTAGAATATGAGACAAAATGTAAATGATCTATTTTATCTCTTTTAGGATTTAGGCATGTATGAAATCTCTTGCTTGAATAAACAAGAACTTATGTATCTATACAAAGAGGACGCTTTCTGGAATCCTAATCTGAAAACCCAATTCCTTAGCAATCATTCCCAATTGATTTCCAAATAATACTTCGGATTAAAAAGGTACAAGTCTCACTCTAACTTAGAAATGAGGAACAAGAATACCAAAAAACTCAAACTGTAGGAGAATTGCCATTAAAAGATCTACCAGCTCCATGAAGTATATCTATGTTATCAACAGCATTAAAACAAAATTTTATTATTCCAATAACTAAAATATTAAATTGTAATATTGATATCATCAATCAATAATTCTTCAACCTGAAAAATAGCATTGCTTTAATTCCTCATATTAGGCAATGAAATCTTATGCAGTGCCATTCTTGAGAAAAGATTCAATTTGCACTATTGAATTTATTTAATCAGTTTTCAGAAACTTGCAAATTGTCTTGAAATGATGGGGAATACTTAGTGTATCACAAACTCTTTTGATCAAAATGCACATCATAATTAGCAATTTGATATAAGTATTCTATTTATCCTCTGAAGACTCAAAAAGCGACAAAATATTTGTTAAGATATATCTGTATTAACGCTTGATAAACTCAAAATCGTTCAGTTCAGAATTCTAAAATTGATATTAATATAATCTTACATCATTCAAATATTATTCAATAAATTTGTATAAGTCCTTTAACAATCCCTCATTCTTGTATTAATCTAGAACTTTCTTTAACTAAACATAATCCTTCTATAATAATAGACGTTAGTTCACATCAATATCAAATTTTATCTTACTGCTCATCTTTTTATACTCTACTGAATTGATAAATTTTTGCCACTCCTCTACTGGTATATAGTATAGATTCTAGCATTTTTCTAAGGAAACTTGATATTCTCTCTTTAATATCAATTCAGCCTTTTTCATTCCGTAAATAGCAATCGAAATTAAGTAATTATTTTTGCATTATAAATGCGATTGCAATTCTTCTATCAATTTCTCCATCAGAGAAAAACGATACAGATAAAAATATATTTGATTCCAAATCAAAAGATCTTGAGTAAGATCAGAATTCAGATATGGTAATACTCTTAAGAATTATTCGTTTTCAAGGATAGTCTTCTTTATTTTAATTTCTTCAGTATCCTGTTTTATTGTTGTGGTCTTCTATGTTCCACTCACTTTGCTAATAATCTATTATTAATTAAGGGATGTGAATTTGTTATAGTCTTCATAATCAGGGGGATTGAAAGAACCCATACTTTAAGATTAATCTATGGTGCTCTTATCCGATAGCAAATTGTATGATACTTTAATTTGCTAGTCTTTTATCATATTCTATTAATACTAAGATAATATATTACTGCGAAATCTTAGGTATCTTAAATTTCAAAGATTTCCGGTTCCTCAAATTTTATGATATCATCATATTCTCTTTTTTCAATAATATTTTTTGTTAGATTCTTAAATGTATTCTATTTGTAAAACTATTCTTAAAGCGAGTAAAGTTAATTATTTTTAAATTTAGCAAATAGTTGCACATACTCTATTCTTTTATTTACATCAATAGATAACATAGATATAACTAAATTCTTCAAGCCATCTGAATATTTTGTTGATGCAATTGCTAAATTGATATCAGTTGAAGCCTCATTTAAATTTTTCATATTAAATTATGGCAAATCCTTGCCAACCATCAAGTAAAATAGAACTCTTCCTAACAAAAATATATCTATTTTCTCATTATAGGCCTGATTGTAAATCATTTCTGGAACTTAGAATTCTAAATCAGGGTAAAACCCATATTCCATCAGAACTGAATGCTGATTCTCAATAAACAATATATTGTTAACATTAAAACATCTACCCAAAATTCCTTTTTAATGAAGAGCAAATAAGGCCATTAGAATGTCCTAGCAGATTTTTAAAATCACCTATTCCTGCAATTATTTAAGTTCTGATAAAAGAGTGTATTAATTATATGTCTCAAAGGTATAAAAACCTTACCTTACTTTTTTATTTAATTTTCGTATATATTTAATTTCATTTTACTACTGCATATCAATTGCAATAAATTCGTCTAAGTGATATTTATTTTAGTATTCCTATTTTAGAATGTAACCAAAATAGCTCTTATCTTGAATTTTGACTAAATAAATTAGAAAAGCTGTAGATTAGATGCTTGTTAAATGCTCTGTTTTCATTAATTCTTTGTCAAAATTCATGAAAGTATTCAATTGTAATAAATAAAATTAAATATTCATGAATCCATTGAATTTCCTTGCTCTTAAATGATTAATATTGAATTTAATAAAAAATACAATTAATCTATCTGTATTTAGAAAACAACAGTCTAAAAATAACCTTTAAAAGAAAAACCCACCTCAACCTAACCTTCAAATATGAAAGCTAACATACATATTATTTAGATTAACACTTAATTCTATTTATCGATCGTAAATCAATCCTTTATTCGATGCAAAATTCAATCTGTTCCTAAAGCTAATAAGGGGATATGAATTCTTTTGCATCTTTATAATGAATAAGTAGATATAATTAATCTAAGTTCACTTTTTGTGTTTTCGAAAAAATTCTATTAATTAATCTTAATTCAGTTAAACAAAATAAGTCATTTCTGAATTTGATTAATTCTTAAAGAGTAGATTTCAAAAATCTTAATTGAATATGTAAATATATCTAATTAATTTTGAGATAGATTTTTTATTTTTGCTTGATTATAATTAGAAAAAAACCAAAATTAAAAACATAAACAAATCATTTATTGAACAATCTCTCAGATCTATTTTTTTTTAATTATCTTGGTTATTCATTTTATCTTTTTATTTCTTCAAATAAATCCTCATCTTTGCCATTTTCACAATAATTGCAATTACAATCAACTGTACAAGTCTTCTATCTAATAAAACATTCGCAATATCTCTTTAGACATCTAGTCTTTTTACAATTACATCCCCAAACTTCTTTTGTTTCAAATAATTTCTCTTACGTAACTTTTTTATTTCTATGAGCTTTTTTCTTTATGTATTCAACTGCCTCATGTCTTTAATTTAAGTACTCGTCAACATTTTTGCAATCCTCACACTTACATAATTCTACACATGTTTATCCATTGTGAAAGCAAGAACAATACATTTTCAAACAATTGGTTTTAGTACAACTGCATGGTTGCCATTTATTACTCTCTAATTTCGGACTTTCTTCTTTGACTACAATTAAATCTACTTATCTATTAATAACTTGATGAAGTTATTCATTGTTCTCTATTGTGGAATTCCTATTCTCATCAAATATATTGTTACAATTTTCTTAACTTCACCATTTTAGGAGACTACTTATTTTCTAAATCAATTTCGCTAAACTCAGAACATTTACTCCACAATAATAATAACTTTGGAGGTTTATTCTCTTCTGAGAGTTCGTGATTACTCATACGTAAGAATTTGAAATTATATTTTTATAAATTAATTTATTAATTATTGAAATAAATATAAAAAATAAATTTTAAGCTTGATCAGTCAATGAACAATATAAGTAAAGCTATAAACAAATCTTAAATACTAATTTTTTATTCATTGAGTAGGAATTAACAAATAAATGCTTTTTTATTATAATTAGTTGTGGTTGATTTTTGATAATTATTGATCAATTTATTATTGAAAATGTGTAAAATTTAAATATACGTTTTATAAATCATTTGTTGTAAACTCCATATAGATCTATGACAGTTGTTTTAGTAATTTTAAAAGTCTTAATGAAATAATCAAAGGTAAGAAACTACATTTACAAAATTTATTACTCCAAATTCCTTTGTTCTTTCAAACATTATATGCTTTGCCTATCCCCATTTCTCCTAAACCTAAGGTTCTTAAAATTTCTTATTGAATTCATCATACTTCTGTTTCACATTATCTGTGATATCTATTACTCTAATTACTAATTACATTGAGTAGTTTCACTATATGGCTTATGATCTATTGAAGGTGAGATTCTTTAATTGGCTTCTTATGTGCTGTTGTTGCTCATCTCTGTAATTTATATAATCTAAAATTAATATTGTTTATAATTGAAGAAAAAGAGCTTTGAATTAAGAAATCTTAGTATTCTGATTAACTCTGTTAATCTTTCATAAAAACTAAATTACATTTTCGTTTTTATTGAACCCTAAATCGTTTTTACTACGAAATTGCCCTCAAATGTTAAATATTCTCGATTAAATTGTTCTAAATGAATCATAATAAGTTAAGAGATACTTAATATTAATTTTTGATCTTATGGACTAAAAAGGGGTCTTTAAATGCTCTTTTGAATAATATTTATACAGAAAACTAAGCCTTATTAAACGCATTGATAACCAATTTGAGTTTAATACCAACTAATTTTAGAATAAGAATTATCATTATCATTAAAAATCTTATGAAATATTGATCAAGCCACTTGAATTATTGAATCCAAAGAATTCATTATTTGTTTCATAATTATATTTATATATCATTTTTTTTAAATCTTAACAATATTTAAATGATTTTCTATTTTTTTAATTACTGTTTAGATCTAAAATCATTTAATATTTATTCTTCTCATTTTAGACTTTAAATTTAAATTGTTGAATTTCAAGAGATCCTTAATTAATTAGAGAAAATAATTTAGGATGAAAATTCTTCAGTTGAGTAGTAATATTGAAAATTAAATTAAATTGATGCAGAGACAGTTACCATACAGTTTCCTCAAATGAGGTTATAGTCTCAATACATAAATTTCAAGGAAATTAATAAAAACTGTTAAAATAATTATGATATTCTGTCAGTTTGTTTCTCTTATATCATTTTTGAATTGAAATTTGCATATATAGTTATTTTTCAATTTAAAGAAATTATTCAATCCTAATTAGAAATAAAAAATTAAATCTGAGTGATAATTATATTTTATATAATTAATTGTGGTTCTCATTTTTATAATTTTTTGTATAATTGTAAATTTAAATAATGTTGAACTGAAAATAACAAATTCATTTATGATAAAGTTGATGTAGATCTGTAAATGTAGTTTTAGTGATTTCAAAAGTCTTAACAAAATAATCTAGCGTAATATACTAAATGAATATTTGTATTTATTACTCCAAATTCTTTTGTTCTAGTAAAAAGTACATTGGTTACTTATCCCAATTTCTCCTAAACTTAAGGTTCTTGAATTTTCTTATTGATTTCACTATATTTTTGCTTAATATTATCAGTGATATCTATAATTCTAATTAGTTATATTACATTGAGTGTTTTCGCTATAAGGTTTATGATCGATGGGAGGTAAGATATTTTAATCAACTTATGAGGAATTATTTTGGCTCATCAAATTCAGATATTTTATAAATTTATTAAAATCTAAGTGTTTAAAGAGTAGAATTTAAAATTAAGGATCTTATTCATACTGATTATCTCTGATATGGAATCCATAAATGAAACACAATGAGGGTGTACAATTGAGACTATAGATTGGTAATAGGATATAATAATATTATATTATAATAATTTAGGAGTTGATATATTTGAATTCAAACATAAAATTCAAAATTTAGTTTTATTAATGAATAGGTTGTCTGTCTCTGATTTCGAAATAATTAAAAAGTTAGGCTAAGGTTCCTTTTCATCTGTGTACAAGGTGAAAAGAAAATCTGATGGTTAAGAATACGCAATGAAAAAAGTTTAAATGTCTGGATTGGCAACAAAGGAACTGAATAATGCTCTCAATGAAGTCAGGATTTTAGCTAGTTTGGAAAACCCATATATAATTGGGTATAGAGAAGCTTTTATAAGGGGAGACAATTTGTTTGTAGTTCTGGAATATGCAGGAGGAGGAGATTTATAACAAAAATTAGAGTATATAAGAAAAAAAGGATAAGGGTTTTATGTAGATGAGGAGTTGATATGGGCGTATTCATTCGAGATGCTTTCAGGGTTAAACGAATTACATAGTAAGGGAATTTATCATCGAGACATTAAGTGTGCAAATATATTTTTGACTCAAGATCACAAACACATCAAGTTAGGTGATCTTAATGTAGCAAAGGTTGTTAAAGCAAATTAATTCGCAAATACATATGCTGGGACTCCTTATTATACTAGTCCAGAGGTTTGGATGGATTAACCATATGATCAAAAATGTGATATCTGGTCTTTAGGATGTGTGATTTATGAGATGGCATAATTGTAACCACCTTTTCTTGCAAATGACTTATTCTAATTGCAGAAGAAGATCTCTAAAGGATCATATGAACCAGTGAATCCAAGGTATAGCAAGGAATTGAGTGAATTTATTGCAAAGTGTTTATAAATAGCATCCAAAAACAGAGCTTCTTGTGAGGAGTTGTTAAACTTAGTTTAGATAAGAAACAGATAGAACTCAGTCTCAATATCTTATAGCAATCAAAAATTACTAGGAACTATTTGTTTGACAAAAAATTACAAAGAAATACGATTACCTAGACCAAGATATTAAACAGAAATAAATGATTCGAGTGTGGTGATAAGTAAAATTTAGACATCGAGGGGATATAGGGCAATTTCAAATAACAGATTAGATGATTCAAACAGTCCAGCCAGTAGAAAGTTTAAAATAAAAAATAAATTATCAAATCATTAGAACTCTTTGGAAAGGAATAATTCTTAAAATGAATAGTAATCAAAAGAGAATGTTAGATATATTAATAATCTCTATCAATTATAACCGAATAATCATTAGCATTATCCGAGTGCTCAAGAGTACAAATAGAACACTGGATCAAGATAGATTACGCCAACACTAAGAAAATAATTGTCTTCTCCTTTAAATTAAAAATCTCCTCTAAATCATAAATCTCCTCTAAATTCAGAAAACCAATAGGATAAATAATTGCCAAAATTAAAAACAAAATAACTGATATTTTAAACAAAAGATCACTTAAGAAATATAAGAAAATTAATATGATAGTTTTAATTCTATATAAAATGTTATGCCAAAATATAAGCAGGGTTATTTTTTTTCATTAATATAAATATCCATGAATAGTCATTATTTCAAAGATCTTGATGAGTATGAACTCGACAATGAAGAATCAATACGTCCTAGATGGAAAGAGACCAGGGAATCAAAGATTGGAATGGATTCCTAAAATCTTCAACCCTTTCGCAAAGAATTGCTACATGTATAAGATTCAATTATGCTTCCTAAGACTACTAATGATAATTACAAGATGACTGATGAAAGATTGGAAGCCTTTTATAGAGAAAAAGAAATCATTATTAAAACGTTTGAGAACTAGAAGGTTCCTCCTCCATTTTTAAGTTGGGCCTCTGCTGGTTTCCCAATTCCAATTTTAGAATCCATAGAATAATTGTAATTTAAGAGTCCAACAATAATTCAATCAGTTGGTATTATAATAAAATTATTATTTAATTTAAGTTTTTCCAATAATTTTGGCTGGATATGATGTAATAGGGATTGCATAGACAGGTTCAGGAAAGACTATTGCTTATTTATTGCCAGGATTAATTCAAATTACAAGCTAGAAAACTGAGGAATTAAACAATACAAAAAAATAAAATGGACCTTAAATGCTAATTTTAGTGCCAACTAGAGAATTGGCTATGCAAATAGAGTCAGAAATTTAATTATTTACATAAAATTATCGGTTAAAAACACTCTGCATATATGGCGGAATTAATAATAGAAAAAACCAATTTTATAACTTAGGAAGGTTTCCAAATATTTTAGTGGCTACTCCAGGAAGACTTTTAGATTTTTTAAGGGAAGGAGCAACAACATTAGCCAATGTCAGTTATCTAGTAATAGATGAAGCAGATAGGCTTTTGGAATTGGGTTTTGAAGATACAATCAGGGAGATAGTGTAGTAAATTAGATTTGATAGGTAAACAGTATTTTTTTCGGCTACCTGGCCCAAAGCTGTTAAAGACCTAGCATTTGATTTTTGTTAATATAGCCCAATTTATGTCTAAATTGGAAAGTCGAATTTAACAATAAACAAGAATATTGATTAAGAAATAATTTGTCTATTTCAGAAAGACAAGCTACAAAAACTACTTGATATTCTGGACACCTTGAAAATATCGGACAAAGTTCTCATCTTCTCAGAGTAAAAGTAGCGATGTGAACAGTTATCTATAAATATGGCTGATAAAGGATATTACACAATAGCATTGCATGGTGATAAAACATAACCTCAGAGAGATGAGATAATGAAGGCCTTTCGCAGTGGTTACACTCGTTTATTGTGTGCAACTGATTTAGCATCTCGAGGATTAGATGTAACAGATATTACTGTCGTAATTAACTATGATTTTCCAAAATATTTTGACGATTACATCCATCGAATAGGAAGAACTGGAAGAGGCGAAAAGAAAGGAAAGGCCTTCAGCTTTTTGGCTTATGACAAAGATGAACCCAGGATTGCCAAGGAACTCTTGAAATTGGCTCAAGTGGCTAATCTTAAATATGATGACTCTGCATTACAAAATTTTGCAATTGGAATATGTAAGAATCTATTATAGTTTAGTCCCTTAAATGCGCAACGATTTCGAGTATAATAGATTTAAGTAATAATAATCAAGAGATAATAATTAAAGGGTTAATTTCTAATTTTCAAAAAATTCACAAGAGTAATATCATTATGAAAACTAGAAATCTAGGTAAACTTTATGTATTAAATATTTAGATATCCTTAAGACAACAGAGGTTCCTAAGGAGAAAATAATAATTATTCAAAATATTCCAATATTTAGAAGGAGGATGGCTCAAATGGAGATTCAAATTAGTAATAATATTTAATTATTAATAGCAATTTTAGATTTAAGGATAAATTCTAAGATTAATAATACAATAGAGATTAATATTAAGGAAGAAATTAATGGAAAGAGTATGGAAATCAAAAGGATTATCGCTATGACAATGACTAACATAGGTCATAAAATTATTATCAAAATGGAGATAGGAAATAATTTTATGGAAAATAGGATAGATTTGATAACAGATAATAAAGATAGGAATAACCATTTGAATAGAATAAATATAATAATGATCAGAAAGAAAGATATTATGAAACTGGTAGGTAAGAGAGGTAGTTTAGGCAGCAAGGGTAAGATTGGTCTTAAAATGGCTAAGATAAATAAGAAAATGGAGAAGATAAATAAACAAATAGATATGATAGACCGAAATGGCAATAATTTTAGGAGAATTAAGATGGAAATTATCGATAAGATAAATTTGACAGATTTAATAAAAAATAATAATATGATAATCGCTAATATAAGCATCAAGAAGATGATAAAGGTCTTTAGAATGATAGATCAGAAAAAGCATATCGGTAATATGATAGACAGGAACCATCAAATCGAGAAAACAGAAGAGTGAATTTTACTGACCAGAATGATGATAGATATGAAAATAATCAATAATAATATTAATCTAGATTCCCACCTGAGAACAATTCAAATAGATGGGATAATTAAAAAAGTCAAAAGTAATAGGATTATTGGAATAACAATAAAAGATAATACCCATATTAATAAAGATTTAATGGAGGTTAAAATAATCCTAGAAGTTTCGATAACTAAGGGGAAGATTTTAAGAATTCTAGATAAGAAGAATCTAAAAGACAATATACAAATTAAGCTGATGAAGGGAGCGCTTAAGAATGGAAGCCTAAATAGCAAGAGAATAATGATATGATGAAGAACTAAAAGGATTAGGTTAGAAAACATTAGGTGAGATTTGATGTAGAAGATGATAGATAACATTAATTTAATAATACTTTTAGAATCTAAGAAGAGGATAATAAAAGAAATTATAAACAAAGTAGATCTTGTATTCGAGATAGACATGACGATAGTAGGTCTTAGACATTCAGAAATAATGATTCAATAAACCACCATAATTAAAGTTAAGGAAGGAATTATTTGGATTAAAATGAAAGAAGAAGAAATGAAAATTTTAGAGATACAAGATTTTCTAATAATCAATAGTTTGATTAATATAATAATTCAAGAAAACAATATGATAACTAAAATAGAATAAATAGAAATTAAATAGAATAAAATGGCAATGAGGATAATAAATTGAAAACATTTAGAAATACTTAAAGTTTAGAAAGAAACTAATAAATGCAATTTTATAATTCAAAATAAATTACTAGAAATACTGTTAAAACTGATGATTAATTGAATCTTGATTAGTAGTAAAGATAAGTATCTAATAATATTTGGAGAAATAGAAATAATGACCTATAACAAAATTAGGAGGGTGCAGTAAATAATTAAGAAATTGATAAACCAATTAAGAATTCAGATGAGGATAAGGGTTAGAAAATATAATCATAAATTATTTAAAAGCAATAAGAAATGGAAGAGATTAATGAACTTTAAGAATATAATTTTAACTATGATCCAAATCAATCATCTGATGATGGTGAAATAGAAGATGAATATGATAAAATTGAATAAGAAAACAATTAAATAGATAAATAGCTACCTGACATCTAAAATCATAATATTGGTTTACAATCAAAGTCATAAACAAGTGATCAAATTAGAACAGTAATAATTCAAGAACAATAAGATGAAAAAATAGATTAAGTATAAATTGTTGAGGATGATACTCAATAAATAAAATCTAATATTAATGAAAGGGAATAAGATAATGTAGAAGATGGTTCTGATAATGAATTTGATTTTACGAGATTCAGTAGGACTATTGAGTAGGAAAATCGATTAAAATTTGAAGATAGTCAGCAGTAAGAATTTTATTTATTTAAAGATAACACACTAATAATAACAGAGCAATAAAAAATGAAGAAGAAGAAGAAGTAAAAGTAGACCCTAAATAGGAATGACGAGTACATAGTGATTATTTTTAAAGGATATTATAAATTAATATTACGCTAATTTTAAACTTTTTACATTAAAGAAGTTTGTGTTGCTTTAAATCTCAATCTTGAAAGAAAATTCCATTGTGATAGTATACTCATAATTACATAATTTGAAATGAAGTAAGAGCTTAACCAATAAATTGTGATTACACAATTAAGCTCTGAAGACTTAATTCTGAAATAAAATTTCTAATCTCATAATATTAAACATTAGTACACAATTAACCTATTAATATTGGTGATTTGTTGATAATTGTTTCATATTTATGCTTCATTATTTGTGGTTTTATAATTAAAAATAATAATTAATATAAATAAATGACTGAAGGATAATCTGACACGTTTTGGAAATCACTTTATATCTATTTTAATGAAATGGATTTTGAATCTCAATTGTACGTGAAAAAGATATATAAAATCATCATCCTAACAGTGGCTGTAATGAAAATTTGCATATCATTAGATAATTTCATTTATTATTGCATTCTTCCTAGAGAGATTTTCTGTATGTGTATACTCTACAATCGGAGCAAGCGTTCTTTGTATATTAGTATACCCTAAATTTTATAATATATTAGGTGTTAGCACCTGCTTGGCCTATGTGGAAGAAAAATTAACCTAATTGGTAACAAGCAAATTGGTAAAAACAAAAATGAATTTTATAATATATTATATAATAGTATTGAGTTTTATATTTAAAGAAAGGCAGCTTAATCAATTGAAAGTTCAGAATTAGATATATATTATGTTCTATATAAATGATTAAATTTTAGTTGTTTTTTAGAAATAATTATTCCATTAAAATAAATTGAAAAATTTTAGAAGTTTCAACTATCATTTTTATTCATAAATACCTTCAAAAAAATAATCATTATCATTATTTTGTATCAAAATGGTTAATTGATAATTGCAAATTTAATGGATTATCATAAAGAGTTAAAAATGATTTTGCTTGATTGTGTTTTTATCATTTATATAATCGTATTGATTAAAAATCAACGTCTTTATCAAATAGAAACAGACAAAAAAAATTAAATTCTGCTAAATGTCAAGAAGAACTAAGAAGAAAGTAGGAAACGCAATCAGCTATACTATAATATAATGACAAGCAAAATAGTATCGATAGGTGATTTGGATAGATAAGAAAATCTTGATGGTAATGAATTTCAATAAGAACAGTAGGGATACCCTTGGCTTGTTAACAAAAAAAATTCAATTGTCAAGCCCCAGAAATGTATTTCCAAAAAATATGTAATTATCTCAGGTGTAAAGTAAAAGTAGGCAATAAAAGCTAAGGAAAATGAATATATTATTTTAAATTAAATATTTATATAGTATTTCTTATTAATTTTGAAGTTTTGGGTAGTAGGGTATACAGTTCTGTTGAGAGATTCGTTTTTTATATGGTTTTTGATTTTGAATTTGAAATCAATTTGACCTTGGAAAGGAGGAGTTTTAAAATAATTAATATAAGTTTCAAAAAGGATTGTAAATAATAGTTTTGACATAGGGATGGTGTGAATAAAGTGAGGCGCTTATAGAATTTCGATAATTTTATATGAAAATTAATAAAAAATAAAATAATTAACTCTTGGTTTATTTGAATTTGAAATATTTAGACAAGAGAAAGTATATCAAAATAAATTTGAATTTTTGGTTGGAGTCTTTAAGTATCAGAGTTGAATAATATATATAAATTAATGATTTTTCAATAACTAAAAATTACTTTGCCTCCTATTGGTGCTCAAGAAATAGAGAAATCAATATAGAAAAGAATGGGAGACTGCTTAGAGACACAATTAGGATTCGAATACGAGCCTTTTACTTTTCAATATTTAGAATTACACCCCGATTTGGTTACTATTAAAAATCAAGTATAGAAACTTATAGTTATATATGCAGAAAATCGAACATCATCCCATTGAAAATTAGAAACATGTATAAACATCATTGGGATGCTTTAGTAAAGAAAACAAGATTCGCATATTCTTATGTGAAAACATCCATGTTTTGCAACGATTAGTGATTATAATGGTGATTGTAAATACTATAGCATTTTGTTTATATGACTATTAAATTAGAGATAGCGTTGATAATTTAAGCAGCAGGAACATAGCTTCGATAATAATTGAAACAATATGCAATGTTTTTTTTGGGATTGAGATAATTATTCAGTGCATTTGCTACGGCGCATTTTTTGGGAAAGGAACATACCTAAGAAATATTTGGAGTTGCCTAAACTTTCTAACTTTCGTTTGTACATGGTCAATTTATTTTGATTAGTCAATTACATTCATTTAATTGTTAAGAGTTATTCGTTTATTAAGACTAGTGAGGCTTTTGCAAGAAATTCAATACTTTAGAGAACAAGTTGAAAATTTTTTTTCATGTTTTCTAACAATTCACACGATAATAATTCCAGTTGTGATTGTAATTTTTGGATTTTCAGTTATTGGACTACATTTGTTAAGAGGAGTTACAGGACGTAGATGTGCCAAAAACGGAATAATTGATTTGAACATTAGAAGTCTTTGTGGAGAATGGGAATGTCCAGATGGGTATATTTTAAAACAATATCAAGTTACGAATGTATTGACCAGTTTCACTCTGAAGATTTAAATTATTTAGACTTTTATTACGGATACTACCATTTCGATACTATATATGATTCATTTTTAAGTGGATTCATGTTTTTCAATGCTACAGGTTGGTCGCCAACGACTTTTTATTTTTGGAAAGCTGTAACACCTCCTGCTACGGCCATCTACTTCATTTTTATGCTGTTTATCTTGTATTTCAATCATTTATACTAGACATTATACTTTATCCGATCTATTGTTGGCTACCTTATATGAATCCTTTCTTGTTAGTAGTGCCATAAAAAATAGTATAAAATCCAATAAATCTGAACTATTCACATAAAGGAGAAGAACAGTTACTTTAATTAACAATTAAAACAAGGCTTAAATTAATTTTCATAAATTGCACATGATTACCTAAATTTCATCATAAAATAGAGTCACCTTGGTAGCTCCTGCAGAGATTTTAAGTAATGAAACTTTGAAGGAAAAAAATGAATCTTGTATTATTGCTAGAATTAAACAATTTGATTAACTCCTTATAATTGCCTCTACGATTGTACTATGCGTAGATCAAGTTGAAAAACGTCACCCAAAAGAATATTATGCAGATATGATAATGAACTTCTTAATAATATTATTAACCCTTCTTAAATTGATATTTTTTAAGAAATCAAGGCGAAAATTATACATTATAGTAGATGTAATCCTATCACTTGGTTTAATTATAGTTATTATTTTGGAGTTTTTGAATTTTCAAAGCAATGTCTTTATCATCATTAAAGCATTTAAAGCATTTAGAGTTATCAAATTAATATACAAATTAGAGTACTTTGGAGTAATTAGATTGTTGCTTAGATGTCTAATAGAAACCATAATCAAAATTAGACATCTTATAATTTTATGGGTCATTTTTGCATTTCTAATTTCAATTATTGGATAAGAATTATTCGCTCATTATGTACAAGGATCATCTGAAATTGAAATACATTTTAATGGGATTGGGAATTCCTTAATGGCTGTATTTAACATCTTTTACGCAGAAGAATGGCATGTGACAATGTATCAACATGCATTGTATAAGCCAGTATCATCCTTCATCTTTTTTTTAATTGTCTTCTTTTTAAGTCATACTCTTTTTATGAGGCTATTACGAGCTTTATTCTTAAATGAATTTGGAAAGAAATTAAATGAATTAGATCAGAAATATCCACAAACCGACTATTTATAAAGGGCTTGGCAGTATATAAAAACATCCTGGTTCTAGTAAGAATCAGCTTAATCTTCTTCTTAGTCTTAGAACGAGGATGATTCAAAAGCCCCTCTTCAAGAGATCAGTCCAAGTGGAACTTCAATTAAACCAAATATTAGTTAAAGCAAAGGTTAAATTTATAAAAGATTGGTTGAACATAAGTTATTTAGAATTTGCCTTTTGTTAGTTGTGGCTTTAAGTGCTGTGAAAAGTGCTGTACAAAATCCTCTAACTGATCCTCATAGTCAAGAAAAGGTAATGAATTACATAAGTTTTAGATGATTTTGGATGTTATTCAATATGTTACAACAGCAATCTTCATGATTGAACTTGTTCTTAATTGTGTGGCCTATGGGATCATTAAATTCATAAGTTAATCGTTTCTTAACATACTGTCTATAATAAATATTATCGTGAATATAATCTCTATAGGATTGGGAAACCCTCCCCTGTTTATTTTGACTCTATTTGATTCTCTCAGGGTGCTTTCGTTTTTAAAAACCGGTGCGGATTAATACCCTATTTTAAAATAAGCAGTGCAAGCCTTATTTAACGCTTTTACTAAGATGATTTAGTTAGCTCTATTTAGTCTTCTAATTTTATTAATGTACAGTCTAATTGGAATGCAATTGTTAAATGACGAATTCTATTATTGCAGTCTTCCAGATGGCAATGCATCAAGATTGCATTTAAAATCTAAGATTGATTGTTTTGACATCGGAGGGAGTTGGATAAACCAAAATCTAAATTTTGACACTTTATTTGAATCAATAAATCTCTTATTTTGTGTTGCAACATCAGAAGAGTGGATTCCTTTGATGACGCCTGCATGGAAAGCTGCCGGGATCGATCAACAACCACATCATGACACCAACAGATATTGGTCGATTTATTATTAAATGTTTTTCTTTATTGGAAATACTTTAGTGTTGGGAATGTTTGTCACTTTAGTTGTTGAAACCTACATAAAAACGAGAGAAGAATCACGTATAGATATTTGTTATATTTATAAATAGAGAATCTACATTTACTGGATGACAAATAAAGGGAATGGTTTCAGATCAAAGAATAAATATTAAATTTAAAGCCAAAGAAGAAATTTAAGCCTCCCACGATATTTATTTTAAATATCTTCTATAGGTTGAATTAGTTTTTGTAGATTCCATTTTTAATCGTTATATTAAGCAACATCATTATATTGAGTTTATACTATGCAAGAATGGGAGCAGAATATGAATAAGCTTTGGACTAAGTCAATTAGATTTTCATCTTTATTCAACTATTTGAAATACTAATAACTACAGTATAGGTTACAGATTTCAAGTTTAAAATTTATGAAATTTGTGGAATACTCTTAAGTGTGGTTTCTAGCTTTTTAGACTATCATATTCTTCATGTAGTTTCAGTGGCATTCCAAGTTACCAGAATTTACAAGCTAACTTAGCATTTCAAGACAATTTAACATTTGTTCCATGCCATATTTGCAGTATTGCCTAATACAGCCTCAATGCTTTTCATTATGCTAGTAGTCCTATATTGTTACACCATTGTCTCTTGTGATTTATTTGCTTATTTGCGTCCTTAAACATCAGTCAATGGATTTGATATGCACTTTAGGGATTTCTGGGGTGCACTTATGACTCTAATTAAAGTATCGACAGGAGAGAAGTGGTGGATTGTAATGCAGGAAACTACATTAGAATAATCGCCAGCTGTAGCTTGCATAAATATTGAATCATATGAAGAATTTCAAGAGATTGGATTTAATGGGTGTGGGTCAAACCTTTCTTACCCATTTTTTATTTCGTTTATTCTTGTATTCTCACTAATGATTTTGAATCTATTGGTCGCAAACATCATAGGAGCATATGAACAATATCATAAAAGTGAATAGAGTGCCATATCCAAATATTAATTATTAGATGTGATTGAATTGTGGTCATAGTTTGACGAAGATGGAGAAGGGTTCATAAGTTATAAACTCTTTTGGAGGTTGTCATCTTAGATAGCTATAATCTTTGGCTTAGAGTAATCAGATTTGTTGGATGTCAATAATAAGAAGAAGTTCTTAAAGGCTTTGAAGATTCCAATTTATGAATTAGTAGACTCTAATGTCCTTTGCTACAGGTTTCATGATGTGATTGTGAGTTTGACTCGGATTTCTGTTACCATCAAATACGGAGTAGTTAATTTGGAACCTGTAGATAAGGATATCCATTAAAAGGTCTATGGTAATAAATATTCTCAAGTGGAACCAAAGTTTAGGGAAACAACATTGAATAGCGGAGATATGGTATATTTTAACTATTATAATAGGTGTCTATCATCTTTATTTAGCAAAAGTTTAGGGAGTGGAAGCAGAGATCACTTTTAAAAAATACCATTTTTTTAGGAGGAATAGGAGACTATCGTAGTTTAATCAAAATTAAATCAAAAACACTAAGTGAAAAAATACATTAATAAATGAATAATGAAAATTGAAATATGTATTATATTCATGTATTCAATGTATTCAAACTATTTATTGGCTAATAATCATTATATTTGTTCTAATAATTTTAAGTTTACTATATGTATGTTGTGCATTTCATTATGAGTTCTAAATAATAATTGAATAGCCAATCAAAAGTGTAATTTTTTGAATATCAATTAAATTTCTTTAGCAAACACAAATGTCTTTAACAAGAATTAATAAATCAAGAATGACCTATCTGATTTTTTGAGATATAGCATAGAAAATCATTGAATCCTACGTACAGATATCTATCTAATTTTTATGATGCCTTAGTAAAATACTAAGTCTAAAATTAATAAAATGATTTTGAAATAATTCAAACATCTTAAAGCATTTTAAGTAAGAATTAGGAAATTGGTCACCTTTTGGGCATAAAATACTTTCAAAATTATAATAGAAAGTGTTAATTAATTACTGAATTAAAACTCAGTTTTGAATTACTACATAAAAATGAATCAGCTATTTAAAACAATATAGTTAATCAACCGGTATCTCATCATTCATTTAATCATAATGATTTCCGTATAGAGTTAACCATTAATTTGCTTCAAGTAAGAGTTAAACGATATAAATGATTTTAGATAATATACTGTTTTAATTAGTTTTGTAATTGACATTATATTATATAATGTTATAGAGGTAGGAGAGAACTGAATAGGATTGTAACTAGACAAAATCCAAGAATGAGCCAATCCTTAATAAAATTAGTATCACTCAAGTATTAAACTATTTTACTAATGCTTAATTCAGGAGGACATTCGATTGATTTTGAAGGATTTATAACTCAAAGGTTGTCTGAGGATAAGCTGTTGATTGTACCAGAAGAAGTCAGTGCTCAAATTCCTCCAAGAGTAGCCCTGGAAGTTCATACTATGTAAAATAAGGTGAAAAAACTCAAATCCATAAAGATGGCCAAATTACCTTCAAAAACCTAGTTCATTTTGGAGCTCAGCGACAATAGTGTTTATAGAGAATTGCTGGGGTCTATTGAAGATTTAGAGAGGAATGAATTGAAGAAAGCAAAATCGAGGTTGCTTAAAATTATAGCTAGTTCAAAGGAAGAAATAAAATAGGCTTAAACTAAAATTGAAGAAAAATAATCGTCAGTAATTTGTATTTAAGCATTTTACTACTTGAGTAAAGTCTAACAATCAGAAGGTCTGATTGAGGAGGCAATTGCAACATAGAATATGATTTTATAAAATTTTGATATAGCCGATCTACACATTAAAGGATAATTAATGTTGAGTTTGGGAAATCTATATAGAATTCTGCTGAAATTTCAAGAAGCTGCTAAGAACTTCTATCAAGCCTTGATTTTATATGAGAGACTCAACTGGAAAGTATAATAAGCTGATTGCCTATTACAATTAGGAATCGTCTATGCACTTCTAAGTAGATAGTTTAATTATTGTTAAGATGATTATGAGCCGGCGAAATTGATTACCTACGAAGCCTTAGAAATCTACAGGGAAAATATCATAGAGAATAATATTAAGGTTGGGAATGCGTATTACACTTTGGGAAAAATCTTTTATTACTCTAAAGCGTTTGAAGTGGCCACTGAATATCTATTAAAGAGTCTAAAAATCCATTCCGATTAGTATTTTATTATCTAAACTTAGTTATCAGAATGAGTACGATTTCAACTTTGTCAAAATCTATAACCTACTTGGAATCGTATATCAGGTTTAACATCAATTAGATGTAGCCATAGATTACTTCACTTTGGCAGTCAGATGCTATAGAGGATCCTTTGATGCGCAATTAGGATAGATCTTAAATAATATAGGAGTAGCGTATCTTGGTTTAAAGGAACTTGAATTGGCAAGTGATTTTTTCAATAATGCTGATTAAGTTTACAGTATTTACTTTGAGTAAACTAACATCTTAAGAAAAAGAGTCAAACTTAACCTTGAATCTATTAAAGCCCATTAATGATTTTAACTTCATTTTATTAATATTGAATGTTTAATTTAAGAATACTTAAAGGTTTTAGTCATACAATTGAATTAATTTCTGAGCATTATATACAAAAATAAATTGAGAATGTTATCATTAGATATCAATAAAATTTCAAAGACATTTACAAATTATCATACACACCAATCGCAGGGCATGCAAAAATAGATGGAACGAAAAAGTATTCTGCAAATAACAGCGAGATTATTTCAGACCAAACTACAAAAACAACTTACTACTTACCAGTCTAGGGATTGGGTCGTATAAAGGAGCCCCTGATTAAATAATGATATCATGCTTTATGGATCTATTATCAGGTGAAGTGATGTGATTGATACAGCAATTAATTACAGATACATGAAATAAGAACGAGTTATTGGAGCTGCACTTTGAGCTTTAAATATCCCTAGAGACTAGATATTTATCTCTAGTAAAGGAGGATACATCCCTACTGATGGAGACAGAGGTATTTAAGAAGCTTAATTAATAAGAGAACTTATCAATAAAAATCTGATTACACAAGATGATGTAGTTGGAGCATGTCACTGTATGCACCCTAAGTTTTGGAGGCTTTATTAGATGTAATTGATATATATATATATGCTAATTTTAGTAAACCTTGAATCATTTAAGACTTGAGACTTTGGATCCTTTGTAATCCAGCTGAAATTCAATAGCCATTTTGGGATATGATAAGTTTTATGATAGACTAGCAAAGGCTTTTTGAATAATATGAAACAAGCGTTTAGAATGGTAAAATCATAAGATATGGAATGGCTACATGGATTTGTTTTAGAGCAAGACCAGATGAAGTTAGAATTCATGTTCCTCTAGAGAAGATTGTTGAAATTGCAGAAAAAGTGGGTGGAAAAGATCATCATTTTTGAATATATCTAAATGCCAATTAATGCCATGATGCCTGAAGTATTTTCATAGGAATGGTAACCATATAAATGAGAGAATACTCAAATCTTCACTGTGACAAGAAAATTAAAAGTTAATCTGGTAATCTCATCTCCTTTAATGAGTGGTATACTTATGGAAGTTGAATTGCCATCAGAAATATTCAAATGTCAATTCTTAGGAGCTAAACACTTGTAATTTTTAAGATCCGTTCCTGCTGAATCCATTAAAAGTATAAATCATCATCTAATTAAATAGCCATTTTCATAGGATAAAAGCAAATCTCCATACAAAATAAAATTTAGAAGTAATCAGAGTACCTCCCTTAACTGCTGATGAATTTTGGTAAATCTTTTAACCCTAAAAATGGAAATAAGTATCTGATGATGAACTAGATATGTAATGAATAATTTATTGTTGTTATATATAAAATATTGTTATTGTCAGTAACTTATTCTTATTTTCAGTACCAACCCTTTTCATCATCTTTTAGTGGTTCCAATTTTATATATTGTGCTTAAATAAGAGTTCCTTCAATGATTGTTGGAATATATGGTAACACTATTTTTTTTTGTTTTAACTCAACCCAATCTATTTCTGAAAACCACGGATGCGCTTGAATTTCTTTGAAATCATTCGAGAAACCAATTCTTGTAGAAGAATCCTGCTACAACAATTTAGAAATGAGATCTATGCATTCAATAGATATAGGGATTCCTTTTGGGAAATGCAATTCACCTTAGCATATCAATTTGATGGTAACATCTTTGTTTGTGTTATAAAATGGAGATATTCCAATGAGCAATTCATAAAGCAATATTCCCATACTGTACCAATCTGACATTCTAGTCAAATCTCCATATTTCAAATATTCTGGAGATGCATATTCGAGAGAAAAGTTGATATTTTATTATTTTTTAAACTCTTAATACACTCTCAATTTTCCATAGCCAAAATCAGTTAAATAGATATATCCTTATTCATCCACTAAAATATTTTCAGGTTTTAAATCTCCATAAGTAATCCCCTTTTCATGGACACTCTATAAAGCCATGCCAACCTAGGCTATAATATACTTGGCTTAACTCTCTGTAAAGGTACCAACATTCTGAAGATGAGCAAAGAGATCTCCTCCTTTCACAAACTTAAATAAAAAGTGAATTAACTCTGTTTGTCTTATGCATAGTTCCAATTATTCAATGAAGGGTTCTTTTTCATAGCTTTTGAGAAAGAATTCCATTAAATCGACGTCAATATCAGTAGATCTAATTGTTTTCAAGACCAAAACCTTTTAGCGATCAGTTTTCTAACTTAACAAAAAGATTCTGGTCAAAGAACCATTACTTATGATAGCATTCTTATCATAATCATCTAATTTCACTCTAAATTTCAATTTATCATTTACAAAGAGCACTGTAATTTTATGATTAAGAGTCAGACTTTTAGTGGGTTGGTTTTGCATGTTAATATATTGCAATTAGAAATCATTAGGGTATAGAAATAGTAATTTTGATTTAGGATGTAATGCTACTTATTTTTTAAGGTCGGAGATTTTCTAATGCTAACAAAATGGTTGTAAATCTTCTTAATCAACTAAATATATTTTCAAACCGTCTTTATTTTTGAGTTTAAGTGCTATGGATAAATAAAATAAAATGATGTCTCTATTCTCATGGGATTTGTAATGATAATCAGTTTCTGAGGGTACATGCAAAATAAATTCAAAACTTGATCTGGAGACAGTAACACCAAAAATATTTTGAATTTATATCTTTCTTTTTATTGTTTTTTTATCAATATTATATAAATTTTCACTTGTAATTACAATAGTTCTTTATTATTCCGTATTGCGCTTATTAATTTTTCCCACATTCCTGGATATCAAAATCTATTCAGATTGGCCTGTCTGCTTTTTAAAGAATTTCTCTGAATCTAAGTTTAGAGGATCTGAGGATTGTATTTTTAACTCATCTAAGAATTGTTTCAAAATTTGTTCTGAGTGCATTAAAAATATTATTTATTTTATTATCGAATTAGATAATATATATTAATCATCTTCTTTAGATTGGACCAGCACTGTATTGTCTCCTCATGCCAGATGGCATACCAGCAGCTCTATTTTAATTACTCTGCTGAGGGTTTCCTCTTGGAGACTAGGCTCTTGGTGTAACCTACGATTACGGAGGATGGGGATATCTACAATAAAAATCAATCCATTACTTTTATTGTCCAAGTAATCTCTATTCTTACTATTGTACTTTATTTTACAATTATTAAGGAGTCTGTGGTTACTGTGGTTTTGGTGGTTAAGCCATGGGAGGTTTTAATAAAGGAGGTTTATTGATTTATTATTGTTGTTATTATTATTATTGTTATTAACCAGGTTTTGGCATTGGAATTGGCATTGGTATTGATTGAGGAGGTTTTGATTCTTCTGGTTATTTCTTTACTGGTTAAGGTGTTTAGCTGATATCAGTATTGACTCTGATTCCAGATTACGAACTGGATCTTTTGATTTTGTTTTCGTAATTAGCTTTAGGAAGATTGCCCTTCAATTGCTTTAAGTTATAGGGTAATTTGATGGTTTGCAAGAGTTTAGCCACTTTCTTCCCTCCAACTTCCTCCTCGACAAGCAATGAGCCACTATTTCTTATAACTATGGGGTTTTTTAGAATGGCATCGGAACTGGGTCTGTTACGAGGAACGACCTATAACATCAATTTAATGACTTCTGACAAATCCTTGCTATACTTTCCTGGGATTGGATCATAAACACCAGTTTGAATTCTTCTGCTTAAGGATTAGAGATCGGCTGCTCTAAATGGTGGTTGTTAGGCTGCTAGTTCGTAGATGATGCAACCAATGGACCAGATATCACAGGGCCAAGAGTACTGTTCTCCTTTCCAAACCTCTGGAGATGCATAATCTAATAAAATAAAGGATTTATTATTGTACATGGTGTTCCAGCTTAAGTTCGAGCATTGGCTCCATGTGTAACCTTACTGATATTCAGATCACCGATTTTGTATATGTTTCCTTCTGGAGATTTGCCTATAAAGACATTCGCCAATTTTAAATCTCGGTGCAAGATATTGTTGTCATGCAGCATTTTGACTCCTATGGTTATTTAAGTCAAGACTCTCCAGATTTCAGTTTCTTCAACTCCACCTTTGAGTTTGCCTTGCTTCAACAAACTATTTAAGTCTCCCCCAGAAGCAAATTCCATAATTACGTACAGCGTCTTGCCTTCGGAATCAAGAAATGAGTCTTTGAATTCGACGATATATGGAGAGTCAAGTGAGGCCAATATACGAATTTCATTTAAGGCATTCTCTCGCTCTTTATAAGTCTACTGAGATATATTGACTTTTTTCATTGCATAATATTGGCCATCCGATTTCCGTTACACCTACATAATCAGGTCGCCCTTACCTTGTAGACCGAGGAAAAGGATCCCTCCCCTAGTTTTTCGAGGACGTTGAAATCTTAAATGGTACTGCCTTATCCTTATCCCTATTATTATTGCATTAATAAATTAATAAAATCAATGGAATTAAACTTTATGATATTTCCTATCCCCAAAAACACTTACAGAGAAGGAGATCTCAAGGTTGCTTTATTTGTCATATCCTCTAGGAACTAATCAAAATTCCATTCTACGAAGACATATTTAAATTATTGCCTACCTCTCCCAAAACCAGAATCTAGTTTCATAAAATACATCCGTTTAAGCCTCCTGAAGACATTCCCCAAGTATGTGATCTCATCTAAGTCTAGGATGTCAGTACTCAATCCGTCTATGACGATCAAGTTGACGAATTGCCCACTTAAAGAATACCTCATATCACTTAAACAAAAACCATCTAACCAAAGCCTCCAATCCAAACCAGCAGGTGCGGATTAAGACTGTCCATCTCCCCTCGTGTCTCTTTTAACAATGAATCCTTGCTTCCCACTCTAACAAATCGGAGTTGTAAATAAATAAAGGAGATCCCGTGCTTATATTTGAAATCCTACACCATGACCAAAAGAACTATCATATATTTCCATGCCAATTGTGAAGATCTCAAATCCTCCTACAATCTGGTTGACTTCCTCAGACACAATATGAGGATGAACATTCTCGCAGTCGAATATCCTGGCTATGGAATTTATCAAGGTGAGCCCTCTGAAGAGGTTATTTTGAAAGACGCCGAATACATCTACAAGTATATGGCCTTTCATTCCGGCGTAGAGGAATAGAATATTATTTTGATGGGAAGATCCATTGGCACTGGAGTTGCATGTCATGTTGCCTCAATGTTTAGACCAGCCACCCTGGTTTTGATCTCTCCCTTCCTATCCTTACAAGAAATTGTTTAGGAGAAGTACCCCATACTAAGGAAAATGCTCAAAGAGAGGTTCACAAACAAAGATAAAATACTAAGGGTCAAATGCCCGCTCTACATCCTGCATGGACTCAAAGATTCAATCGTTTCAGTAGAGCAAGCCAAGAAACTGTATGGTATTTCTGATTTCTTTAATTCTTTTGTAGACTTGTGCAAGAGTCCATGCTTGATTAGAACACCTCCTGAAATGACTCATACTAGATTTCAATTTGAATAAGATTTATCCTTGCCTCTTCTTGGGTTCATGAGATAATTGAATATACTTTGAAACATCCACATATTAATATTACTCCATTTTGTGATATAAATTAAATTATGATTCGAATTTAGCAATTGCACACCCAAATTTCAGAAACTGCTGGATCCAAAGGACAACCACTTGAACAAGTATGTTTGATTATGCCATATCTCATATTAGAAGACATAATACAAACTAGATTGGTTTAAGAACAATGGATGGGGATACAAAGATACAAAATTCATTTTGGAATAGGATGGGGCAGTCAGATTAACAGGGAATAAATATAGGTTTTCCAATTAAAAAATGATGAAGTTTAAGGAGTGGGCAGAGGCTAAAGTAGGCATAGATTTAAGTTTGAATTGTGAAGCACAAGTTGAAATACCTGCAGATCCCCCTATTATTAATGAATAATTTGTAAATGCCATCTAAGGGTTATTCAATGAAGTCTCATTTAATGATGCTTAGAGAATATTACATTCTCATGGACACACCATGCAAGAAGTCAAATACTTTATTTCTATTTTAGATTTATGAATTAAGACATGGCAAATTGGCTAGAATTGTAGATTGTGTTATCTATATCAGTTCACATGCATAAGCAGAAACACTTGTTAAATTAGCCTAGGAACACAACGTGATGTTGTGCGTATACGGTGGTGGCACTAATGTAACTTGGGCTCTGCAATGTCCAAAGGAGGAAAGGAGAATGATAGTGTCAGTTGATATGTCAAGAATGAATCACGTTAGATCTGTAGATAGAAAGAATATGACTGCCTTGGTAGAAGCTGGAATTACAGGCAAAGATCTGGAAAAAGAGTTGTCTCGTTATGGAGTTGTCTGTGGTCATGAACCTGATTCCGTTGAATTCTCTACACTCGGAGGTTGGATAAGCACTAGAGCCTCAGGCATGAAAAAGAACAGATATGGGAATATCGAAGATATTGTACTTTCTGTTAAAGTGGTAACACCAACTGGGACGTTATAACAAAGTTTGGATTATCCTAGAGTCAGCAGTGGACCTGATTTGAATTAAATCATTTTGGGATCTGAGGGTACTTTAGGTATTATCACTGAAGCAGTTATTAAAATTAAAGCTTAACCTGAGGTAATTTTATTAATTTAAATTAAGGTTTGCAAATATGAATCTATTTTATTCCACAATTTTGCTTTGGGCACTGAATTTATGTATCGATTATCCAGAAGTAAGGTTTGGCCTGCATCTGTGAGATTAGTTGATAATAATCAGTTCTAATTTGGTATGGCTTTGAAAACTATGCCTCATAACAAGAGGGAGGAATTCATGGATAAAATCAAGAAGTACTTCGTCACTCAATTCATGTAATTTGATCCAGATTAAATGTGTTTGGTCACTGTAGTTTTTGAGGGAACTAAATAAGAAATTGAATTCCAAGAGAAGAAAGTGTTTGAGTTAGCTAAATTTTACAAAGGATTTAGAGCAGGGGCTGAAAATGGGGAGAGAGGATACTTCTTAACTTACATGATAGCATACTTAAGAGATTTCGCTATGTAGTTTTAATTTATAGCTGAATCCTTTGAGACTGCCGTTGGATGGAAAAATGTGCCTAGTGTTTGTGAGAATGTAAGATAGACTTGAGTATATTTAGATCCAAAGAAGGATTGTGGAAGAATGTTAAAAAAGAGGAGTGGAGAAGGAACCTTTCGTTTCTTTTAGAATTTCTCAGGTTTATGATTCTGGAGCTACAATATATGTGTATTTTGGTTTCGGATACAAGGGGATTGAAGATCCTGTGAAGTGTTATTCCGAGATTGAAGATGCAGCAAGGGAGGAGATCATGAAAAATGGAGGGTCTATCTCTCATCATCATGGTATTTGTTGGAATTATTAAAATATTAGGTGTGGGCAAATTGAGGAAGTAATTTATGTAAAGGTAAATTGGAGACACTGGAGTTGAGATTTTGAAGAGAATTAAGTAACAAATCGATCCAAAAAATATATTTGGGAATCAGAATTTAATATGAAAATGATATATCAATGTTTTATATGCATAAAAATATATTTAAAACTAACAGTTAAAGAATTTGAATTCAATTAATTTAAATATAAATTTTTAAGTCAATGAACAAGTCTGATACTATTCACAATTAGGAAAATATTGATCCAAACATCATTCGTAACTTATCTTCACAGCAAAAGAAGATTCCTAGAAGTTCAGGATAAAAAACACCATGGAGTGCAAAGTATCATTCACCTATTATCCTTTAAAGCACTGGAGAAATTAGCCATTCTACCAATGATGACATAGAGATATCATGCTTTTAAGTAGGACCAGTCAAAACTACTCAATTATCACCTAATTAAGCCATCGTATGTTAATCTAGATTAGAGTAATATTTGACTTCGAATAATGTCCCTGATATACTTTCCTATTTGGATGAATTTGAAGATCTTGATTGGGTCAAGTCCAATTATATTACTCACATTATTGAGATGATAGTGAAATAAGAGAAGGAATATTTGAAATAGAAGGATTGTTGGATTAACAGCTATATTAACAAGTAAGAATTATCTGCTCACTCGATAAATCATTAAGATGATCTTTAGTGTGTCATCTAGAATTGGAGCATAAGAAGGCTACTATGCTCTTTATGAAATAGATAACTTGTTAGAATAAATGATATAAAAAGAAGAATTGTAATAATATCATTAGATTTAATATTTTCCATTGATATTATATTGCTATGCACATTAATTATTGTATTGGGGTTTAGTGGCAGAATGTTGGGACCTATTGAAATTTAAGTTAAGCAAAGAGATTAATGAATCAATCAAAGACGAGTTTGAGAAAACAGCACAAAAGATCTGTGACATGCTTTTAAGATAATTAATTGAATTAAGCAATTCAAACAATCATTGGGGTGAAGATGTTCAATGAAGTTTTGAATGAAGGAGTCATTAATTTGCATCCATCTGATATCTTCTTCAATAAGTTAATTGACTATGCCTTCAGAAAACAATAAGTCACAATGGCTGAATTCTTGCTTACCTTCATGAGAGACAATGCTAAGATTCAACCAACAATTGTCACTATTAACACAATGATTGACTAGTATTTCAAGAATAATTAGAAGGATAAAGCTTGGAAAACTTTTGAGAATCTGAAACTCACATCTACCAAACCTGACAATTTCACCTATACTACTTTAATCAATGGTTTAAAGAATTCTGATAATATGGATCTCAGATTAGCATTCTAATTATTTGAAGAGTATAAGTAATTCAATCAACCTGATTAAATTATCTACAATTGTTTATTAGATGCTTGTATAAATGCTGGTGATTTAAATAGAGGATTTTAATTGCTAAATGAGATGAAATAATCATAATCAATTTAATTGGATGAAATCACTTATAATACATTGATCAAGGGATGTGGAAGGAAGAAGAGATTAAATGAAGCCATTAGTTTGTTCGAAGAGATGAAATAGATTGGTATCAAACCAAATAGAATAAGTTTCAACTCCTTACTTGATTCCTGTGTGAAATGCAATAAGATGAATGTTGCTTGGAGATACTTTGAAGAAATGAGAAAGCAATATGGCATCTTCCCAGACAATTTCACTTACAGCATTTTAGTTAATGGCATTAAAACTAATCATTCAAATAGAGATGAATTGCTAAGAGCCATTACCTTATTGGAATAAATTTAAGAAACTGGACAATTCAAACCAGATGAGATTCTTTATAACTCATTGATTGATGCTTGCGTTAAATTCAATGAGATCTAAAAGGGAATGCAATTATTCAAGGAAATGAAGAATAAAATCAATTGAACCATCCTCAGTTACATATGGTATTCTGATTAAGGCTTATTGGTAAAATGAATGATTTGAATGGAGCTTTCAGAATGTTTGAAGAGATGAAACAAAAGAAAATACCAATCAATGATGTCACATATGGATGTTTGGTAGATGCTTGTGTTAGAAATGATAGATTAGATTAAGCACTTTAATTCATTGAATAAATGAAATCTCAAAACCTACCAATCAACACTGTCTTATATACAACGATCATCAAAGGATTTTGTAAGTTGAATTAGACTGAAGAGGCTATGAAATATTTCAGTCTAATGAAATAAAATTAAAGAACATATCCAAATCTTATAACTTACAATTCACTCTTAGATGGATTAGTTAAAAATGGATTGATGAATTAAGCAGATAAATTATTCCAAGAATTAGTAGAATCAACAATCAAGCCAGATCTAATTACATTTAGTACTCTATTGAAAGGACATTGCAGAAGAGGCAACATGAAGAGATTGAATGAAACTGTGTAGACTATGCTACACTACCAGATCAATCCTGATGAATCACTATTACAATTGATTCTAGAATCTTGCTTAAATCAATAATAGTATCACAACGGGGTTCAAATTTATGATTAATTCCAACATCAAATTCCTCAATCAACACAACTATTATTGATCATTATTAGATTACATAGTCAAGATAAGCAATTATCATCAGCAATCCCATTGTTAAATAGACTCTATCAATTGTTAGATGAAAGTAGAATATAACACTAGCAATTGGAAACCACCATCAATTCCTTATTGATCCATCCACTTGATGAGCAGACTTATCCAATAATCACCAAAATAGTGACTTTAGCATTGAAATCAGATATCAACGTGGACAATCTAGATAATCTAGTCTCTGTAGACAATTCAGAGTTAATGCTCTTATTGTAGAATACCAACTAGTTACCATGCACTAAGTTATCACAAATCCTCAATTAATTGCCAGTTCAAGATTAGTAATTGTGCAGAGCATACATTTCAAAGAACAATAAGAATGATTTGAAAGAACCTTTGAATGAGTAGTTTGGTTAAGTGTTTTTGTAGTGTAACAGCCATAGCAACAACAATCAGAACAAGAAAACCAAACCATAAGAGAGATCATCCCCGTTTAATAATGAAAACAAGGAGAACGTGTATCATCCAAAGAAACAGTATAACAATTATGCCAAAAATGACTTGAATGAGTACTTGAACAACAAGTCATATACCAAGAGAAGATGATTAATTAATTAATATTATATAATGAGTAATGATTAACCATTTGAAGATGTCGATCAATTTCTTCATCCCCTTGCCGCTCAATAGGCCATTCCAAATATGTTACAATAGGCTATTACGCAAGACTAACTCCTGGCTTAAAATGTTCGATTATTGCAACAATTACATGAACAATAGAGAATGTTAAACCTATAGAGTCTCTTCACTAATAGCATGCTTATGAATCCCTTGATCCAATAACAAGTGAATTAGGAGAGTAAGAAAATAAAGAAAGTCAATAAAACAATCAAAACCATTCCATCAACAACAAGTCTTAAGGATTGCGCTTAACCAATCTAGGAAATCAAAGGGAATGTTAAAAATGCCTACATAAAGAAAATCACTTCCTTGCTTAGTGTGGAAGGAGACAGGTTGCTTGATGAGGACTTACAAGAAGATTTAGATTTAGAGAGTTATTCAGAAATGTAAGATAAAAGCAAATTGGCAGGTCTTTTGGGATCAAATAACGATTTGTTGAATAGTGAATCAAAAAATAAAAGATTGAGACAAAGCGCTAAAAATTCCAGGCTTAGAAAAAAGGTTTATTTGAAATTGCTCGAAAAGAAAGTAATTTTATTATGTAACTATTTTAGGTTTCTGAATTGGATCAGTAAATTTAGGAATACAAAAAAACTACAAGATAGTCATTCGAATATTTGACACAAATATTGCAATCTCATCCTATTTTAAATAGCATGATCATTGGGAATTCGGCAGCCATTGACTAGGTCTTAGAATGTTCAGTGCCTGATCAAGCTTAGTTAGTGTTGGATTCATATTTAGTAATTAGATCATTCTAATATTGTAGATGAGATATGGTACTTGTGGAATCAAAAGGAGAGATTATGTGAAGTACGCAGTGAAAAATATACAGAAGAACTTTCTTAAGGGCAATTATGGACTCCAACTTATGAGTTGGAATTAATAAATTTAAAATTGTAAAGAGTATTGTATTTATCAAATTAGATGACACTGAATTCAATCAATATGTAGAAATCGTTAAGGATGAGGCTAAACTGGATGACGATAACCTTGTTTATCGTGTTCTGCCTACGATTGATAGAATGCTTAACCATCGCAAGATGTCTTAATAGTATGAATAAATCTAACTCTAGATTATTACTCAAATTTAATTAGGACATCAAAAACTTAAAATAGAATTAACAAGAGATTGAGGAAACAATCAATCAGTTTACATAATCATTACCTCCCATCTAACATTTAGAATTCATCAAACAGGTGGAGAAAATGGGGACTTTTAATCGTTTTAATAAATGATCAATAATATATTATGTCTTATTCCAAACTTCAAGAAATATCAAAAATATTAAGTAAATTCTGATATCATTTGTTATTTTTTGTATTACTATAGAACATACTACTTATATTAATAATATACTATCTCATTATAACAATTATTGTTATAATTAAATGATAATTATATATTCTTCATAATTTCATATAAGAACTATAAAAGAAATAATTTAAAAGATGCATTAAATTTTCTCAAATTATTCAAATAATTATAAAATTAATTAAAATGTCTGCAGTGGGAATTCGTGGTGAAAGAGATCAAGGTTAGGATGTGCGTACAAGTAATGTAACTGCTGTCATGGCAATTGCAAATGTTGTCAAGACAAGTCTTGGACCACAAGGACTTGATAAGATGCTCGTTGATGAGATTGGAGATGTTGTAATTACAAATGATGGAGCAACCATTCTGAAACAATTGGAAGTTGAACATCCAGCTGCCAAAGTCATTGTAGAGTTGAGTTAATTATAAGATAAAGAAGTGGGAGATGGTACCACATCGGTGGTTGTTTTAGCAGCTGAATTACTTCGCCGCGCTAATGAATTAATTAAAATTAAAGTTCATCCCACAACAATCATATCCGGATACAAATTAGCAGCCAGACAAGCAGTAAAATACATTCAATCTCATTTGGTACATAAAATCACAGAAGATGACACTGAAATATTAATAAATGCTGCCAAAACTTCAATGAATAGTAAAGTGATTGGCCCAGAAAGTCACATATTCGCCAAGTTGGCTGTAGATGCAGTTAGATTGGTCAAGACCTAAGGTTTGGTCTCTGGTAAGGCTAAGTATCCAATTCAATCCATCAACGTTGTAAAAAGCCATGGTTAATCATCAAATTAATCTGAATTAGTAAAGGGATATGTTATTTAATTATAAAGAGCATCATAATAAATGGTAACAAAGGTTAAGAATGCTAAAATTGCCTGTTTGGATATAAATTTGAATAAATTTAAGATGTAAATGGGAGTTTAAATATTGGTTGATGATCCCAATAATTTAGAGAAAATCAGAAAGAAGGAAATGGATGTTTTGAAAGAGAGAATTCAATTGTTATTATAAGCAGGAGCTAATGTTATTTTAACTTCAAAGGGAATGGACGATTTGGCTAATAAATATTTAGTAGAAGCAGGAGCTATTGGATTGAGAAGAGTTCCCAAGGATCATTTGAGAAGAATTGCCAAAGCTGCAGGTGCTAAGGTAGTCACAACTTTTGCTAACGAGGAAACTGGAGAGTCATTTGATGCATCTTGTTTGGGAGAGGCAGAGGTAATAGAATGCAATACAATTTTAGGAAGTTTACGAAGAAGCCATTGGAGATAATGATTACATATTTTTCAAGGGAATGAAGAAGGAATAATCAGCAAGTATCATTGTGAGAGGTGCCAATGAATTGATGACTGATGAAATTGAGAGATCATTACATGACTCTTTATGTGTTGTGAAGAGAACTTTGGAGTCAGGATCTGTTGTTGCTGGTGGTGGAGCAGTAGAAATGGCATTGAGCATTTATTTGGATGACTATTCAAGAAAATTGGATTCCAATGAGTAGATTGCTATTGCTGAATTCGCAGAAGCCTTGACTTCAATTCCAAAGATCTTGGCCACAAATGCAGCAAAGGATTCCATTGATTTAATCAGTAAATTGAGGGTTTTACACAGTAAGTCACAATCATTGGAAGTCGATGAGAAGGGATACAAGTTTAGTGGTTTGGATTTGGTTAAAGGGGAAGTCAGACATAATCTTAGACATGGAGTACTTGAACCAACAGTTAGTAAAATAAAGGCATTAAAGTAATTATTATTGGTAGTTATTGAATAGATTTGCAACAGAGGCTGCTATAACGATTTTGAGAATTGATGATATGATTAAGTTGGAACCAAAGAAGGAGCAAATGCCAGGAAGACATTGAGTTGTGAGAGTGATATATAATATACAATATAAGAAATAGAGATAAGATTTTATGAAATTCTTTTGGGACTGTTTCGATTCCGAATTTCATAAATTTTAACAAATTAATATCTATGTCATCTGACCAATCAGGCGATTAGAAGCCCTTAATGCAACCATTTTCGGTCTTGGATCCTGAGGAAAAGAAGGAATCAACCTATAACAGTTCTAAATTCGAAGGGTATGAGTCATTTTATATGAATCCTTTAGTAAATGTGTCGATCCAAGGTTGATGACATTTTGCATCACTAATTTTGTAATCAATGTTGGTATTTCACAAATCGCTCCTTTTTATCCTGGATTGGCTGCAGACAAGGCTGGTCTGACATACTCTTAAATTGGATTGGTGTTTAGTATCAATCCTCTGGGCTCTATTCTGTTTAGTTTTGTTATAGGAAGTTTTATATAAGTTTGGGGTATAGTTTTTTATTAATTTAGGTCGAAAGAAATGTTTAATGATAGCTCTAGTTGTGCAATCCTCTGTCTAAATCCTTTTCGGATGCCTCAATTTCATGACAGACAATAAAGCCTTATTCTTTTCAATGTCCCTCATATCCAGATTCTTCTAAGGTATGAGTAGATCTGTCTATTCCACTGTGACATTTGCTTATGTACCAATATTTTGGCCTGGAGAATTTTAGAAAAAGTTGGCAATTATGGAAACAATGACTGCGTAAAGATATTTATAAATCTATATAGATTGGGATTGTTGTTTGGACCTATGATAGGCAGTGTGTTGAACTATGCATTCGGATATTCCATTCCATTTTTCGTTATTGCCATTTTTTTCCTTTGTGCTGAAATTCCTACTTATACCCAATTACCTCCTGATAGCACTATGAAGAGTTTTGAAAAAAAGAAGAAACTCCCTATTGGAAAAGCATTTACTTCAATCAAAGTCATAGTAACAATAATGAATGTCATGTCCATCACTGCAGGTTATACTTACTTCAATCCATTCTTTGTTAATCACATGCAATCCTTCGGACTTTCTGAAAATGTTGCTGCCTTCATCCTGACAATTCCCGCTATTTTCTATATTGGTATGGTTAACATAATCCCCAAAATTGGAAAGCACGTTAAGAAGACTTTCATGATGTCTTTGGCTTTGGTGGTATGCTTTAGTGGAAACATGTTGGAAGCTCCATTTTGGGGAGAAGGTAATACACTAGCAAGTGTTATTATTGGGTTGATATTGGTTGGTGTTTCACAATCATTCTCAATGATTCCCAGCATTCCACAAATAAGTGAGTTTTTAGCACCTGTTGTGACAGATCCATAATTCAAGTAAAATTTGATATTTATTATTAGAAATAACTTAACTGATATGGCATCTGCCTTATTTATCATGTCAATGGGTTGTGGCTCTTTGGTAGGCCCATTGTTGGGAGGATCAGTGTATGATGGATTTGGTGGTAATGTCAACCTCACTGGTTCACCCCCTCAAGAGTTAATAGATTAAGAAAGAGAAGCCTTCAGAGGAGCCATGATTTGCTTAGGATTGTGGTAATTAATTGCAGCAACACTGTTCTTCTTCTTTGGAGACGGATACAAAGGTTGGAGTGACTGTTGCAGAACCTTATCAACTGGACAATAACCACCTTAAGATGAAGGATAACAATTGACTAAACCCTTAAATGATGACACCTCAGATGATGTGATGAGTGACAATGATACGTTGTCTTCAGAAGCATCTGTAGGAAATGATAATGATTTGTTACAAGGACCCCCAAAAAAAACAATAACAATAAGAAAAGAAGCTTTATGAATTTGTACATTTAAAATTATTATATATATCAATTTTTAACTTCTTCTATAGGCACAACTGATCCGAATCTGGACACTTATTCTTTACCACTTAAAAGATTGTTCAAGAATCTATCTACATTTGCTGAAGTCAATGAACCTCTCATCTTTGAGAACAATTATTTCTTTGGACTCAAAGCCAAAACTGAAGGATAACTATTAATAATCATTATAATAAATACCCTGCTCCTGACAATCCAAATTGTTCTTCCAATTCATATTGATCTCCTGCTTAAGACCAGAAGTGAACCAAGGGCTTGGATTTCAATGGCTTCACAGTCTCTCTATAGGTGTTCAAATATGCATCTCTGCATTCTTAATCGCAATCATAGATGTGTGGAACAAACAATAAAACACATATGCCAGTGGATTTCAAACAGTTGTCTGTGAATTATTGTTAGTTGACCAATTATTCAAAGAAGAGAGGCTTTAATCTTCTATTAGTTTCTCGAGCATAATTAAGAAGAGTATTGAAGTCTCTGGCTCCATCGAAACTTTCAAAATCACCATCTACTTTCTCTCCTGCTCCAAAGAATCTAATGGTTGGGAATCCCTCCACCTTATACTTTCCCTTGGTCTTTGATCCTTCTCCACTGGCATCGATCTTGGCTACTTTTACTTCACCCTTGAGAGCTGTTGCCAATTTAGCCCACTCTGGTGCCAATTTCTTACTAAAATGATTAAATTTAGATTTGATACCAATGTCCACACCAAGGAGCATAAAACTCTACAAACCAAGAGTCTTTACTATTGAGAATGGTTTCATCAAGATTGTCGTCTGTCAACACGATTACATCACTTTCATCTATCTATGGTTCTGGGGTTTTCTCTCCTTACTTCTTAGGCACTTTACCGACTCGTTTGAAGGCAAACTAAGATTAATTAATATTTTCATCATACATCTCTGATTTAATCAAAAGCAAAGCTAACAATTTCTTAGGCTTCCCATTCTCCTGGATATTCGATTGCCTATCCATTTGAATAGACTCTTAAGACTGTGCTACTTCCATTTGAAAGTGCTCCAACATTAATCATTCCCTTCAGAGCTTCAGCAGCCAAAGCAACTTGAGTTCTTTGTTCTGAGCTCAAATTAGAATATTCCACTATGACCCAGAAGGTTTTCTAATCTTGCACTTTTGCATTGAAATCATCTTAAGTAAGTTCATGAACATCTGTTCCTGAGAAGTTGGCTATAGACAGAGCAATTAGTAATGCAAAGAATATTGCTTTCATCAACGTATGATAAAAATATTATTCTAGAAAACTCTTTAAATTTTAAGAATATAAACTAAATGACGTGGTAGTTAAAATATCTTCTATTTTCATATTCTATAGATCAAATTATCTCTTATAATTAATAAACATTCAAAAATCCTTCAATTACTCTATTCTAACCTCCCATTAGGTCAATAGGAATTTATAAATGAAATTTTTCATAGAATATTTTGAATTTTATAAAAACAAAAATATAATATACATTAATATTTAATGATTCCTATGAAATTATTTAGACCTCTTAGTTCACAAATAAACATTCAAAACTTGCATCTATTATATATATTGTAAGCAAGAATATTTGAATTTCAAAATGAAAACTTTCTGGGTACTTGGTTTATTGAAGAACATAAAGATTCAAAATAAAAATTAATATCAGGAGGATTAGAAATTAAGGCTAATCTCTTAAAGATTCTCTCTGCACATAAATTTATAAAATTTAATGAAGTTATGTAGAGAATGAATGAATTATGAATTAATAAGAATCTGAAATAATGAATAAAACTGATAAATTAGAGGTTAGATCATATACACATCCATTAAATGTCTATGGAATAATATTTGCAACTTGATTCTTTTTATTTATTTCTTAGAAATGAGTTAAATTATGAAGTTTTCTTAAAAATGAAGAAATGGCTATTTTTATGATAATAAAATTAATAATTATTATAATGAATTATAGAATTGAAAAGGCTGACTTATATATTAGATAGCATCGAATAATCGAGTTGTTTGAGGATTTGACTACAGCCATCTCATACGAATAACCAGGAGACATAAAAAAGTTTTTGATTGAATAATTGCAGTTAAAATAGAAATTCGGTTTCAAAACAGGTTTATTCAAACCAGAAGAAATTGATAACATTTTCACAGTAAAATGATTTAAGCATTATTACTAATAGCTATTTGATTTAAAATAAGACGGATGGATTTCTAAAAAGTAAGCAATTGATGCTTTCAAAGTTATGGCAGCTTCCCAATATCAACTCAAAGATGAGTCTATTTTTCCAGAAAAAGTCACAAAAAAGTAATTTGCAGAAATTATCGGAGAACACCTAGGTATAAAATGATCTATATAAAATAAATATATTTTAAAAACATCTATAAATTAATAAATACGCAAAATTAATAGAAATGAAATCCAATCCTATTTTAAGGTCACACAAGGAATAAAATATATACTTTATAAAGTCAATATAGCATCAAAAGTTAATAGGCTTCCAAAAATCTGGCACTCAATTTGAGTTCTGTGACATAGATCCTCATTGTGCTGACTAATTTTAATGGATTATACAAAGTGATGATTAAAACGAATAAAAATATGAGTTTAGATTTGGTGAATACGTCTTAATATAAAACCTGGCAAGGAACATACCCATAAACAGCGATAAAGTGCCTCTATTATTGGAATTTTCCAACGGGAGTATTGATTCATAAGTATTCAACAAATGCTCAAACAATTTAATAGGAAACTAACCATGTGTGTTAAAAAATAATTTTAACAAACGTTATTTCGACATTGAAAAATTTTCATCAACCTATACAGAATAACCATGTTATTTTTAAATAATACCAAAGTGTAGTCAAAGAACTTTGTCTATCCCGAGACCAATTTGCAACTAAATATATGACTTTTAAATACGAAATTACTTTAAAGGATATTACCTATCTTTTTCTAATTAATTTGAGACTGAAAAAATTTTGGCAATTAAAAATGAATAAACCATACCCTAAGACAGTTGGAGGATATTCTAAATAGATAATAATGTCTATCAGTTGTATAATCAATCATAAAGATGCTATATTCAGAATTTGTCAATGGACAAATAAGAGGAAGCCAAATGTTTATATCTATGCTCCAATTAGCCTAAGTATAATTGGAGGATTATATGTAAAATACTGTTTTATTGATTATTTAGGTCCATAAAAAAAAGAGATAAGTTTTGGGATTCCATTTTTGATTCAAGACATGTCCAGTGGAAGTTTTATTAATGTAGACCTTATAAATCCCAAAGATGATAAGAGCAATGAGTTTGGGGTGGTCTTAAAGAAGAATATTGATAACACTTCTTTATGGGTGGTGTTTAATATGAAATGATTGATATAAGTAATTTCTTTACTTCTATAATAAAATTATTAATAATGCATCTCATAGATATCGCTGTTTTCGTTATGATAGTGCTTAGCTTAGTTGGAACTTTGTTTTTCTTAAGAGATCATGCTCCTGGAAAATAAAATTCAAAAGTTGGATTAGGCTGCTCTAGCTTATTTATATTGTATATCCTTACGAAAACAATAAGTTAGTCAAATTGTATTGAGTATCTTATTCTATGTAGTCGTTATCATAGGATTAACTCTACTTATGTTAGGGAAGTTTTATTATACCGCAAAAAATTCCCTCTAATTGTATTTCAATAACCAAAGACTCAATTCAGAGGTCTCGGAGCATGGAATCAAAGGTAATGAACCAGATCACGAATTACCAGGTTACCTGCCACCTATTATGTCTGAAAATGAATCACGATGCTCTAGTTAATAGAGCTAGCAAGAGCATAATAAACCTATTAGAATCAAATAAGGATAATCTTTATAATTTGGGAGACAATAATAGTAGAAAGATATTCAGAAAATTGGCTTATAGCTCAGTTTTTTAGGAGACTTTAAACAGTCTAACTTCTAGAAGAGCCAACTTGGACTGAACTCAATTAAACAAAGCTATATGCAAGTTCATCCCATTAATTGTAGTGTTTATTTTTAGTATATTAGAAACTGTAAATTTGGTGAGGTACTCGGAAGATGGTGAAAGCAAAATAGGAATTCTGAAAACTATTAAATCTATTACTTATGATTTGGCTGAGAAAGAATTAGAGTAGTTACAAAAAGAACCTGTAATTTCAAAAGCCGATTACCCAAAAATTTAGATTTTATATGAGAGTAGTTAACCTGAAATTCAAAGTTATAACAATGAATTGTAAAGTAGACAAAGCAAACAAAGCAATACCAATTTACTTTAACAATAAGCCCCTTTTAAAGATGTTAAAACAGAATAATCAATAATGCCATATCAATAAAAACCTGTTTTCCAGAAGAAAATTAGTTGGATCAAAATATTAAAGCAGCTAATAATTTTGATGGTCTTTTCTCTTAGCGTTGCTCAATTTCCCCAATAAGATTTAAAGTCTCACATTTTCATGATCATCTATATACTCGGATATACTTTTTATTAGATGTCGCTTTTTTCATTATTTGTTGCAGAAGGACTGGAAATTACTACTCAATTAAGGGAGATTATTGCATGGTCATTATTAATATTATTGCCTACCTCATTGGCAATATTAATTATACATTTTCAAATAGATTGTTTTCAATTTATGGCTTGGTTATCTATCTTAATTGCAAGCTAAAAAATAAAATATGCATCAAGGTATCTATTTAGATCTATCATCATAGAAATCCTGCTCTCTTCAACCCATTTATAATTATATTATGTTTAAGTGCATTATTTTGCTGATAAATATGAAAACTATAATAATTCATTAATCACGAATTTTTAATTCCAATCTCGTCAATCTCTAATCAAAGTTTGTTAAAGCCATGTTTACGGTTGTCTACAATTCTGAAAATTTTTGCATAACCGATTTAATGTTATCATTGCTAAGCAATATTACCTACATCAATTTTTAGAGATCTTGATGACTCACACCATTTTATTATTGAGCTGAATTATTTTGTTGAGTTTGATAATTTTATTAGACTTAAATATTTGGTTGAGTTTGATAGCTTTATTAAACTTAATTGATTTTTTATTTGAATGATTATTAAGCTTAGATTTCATTCTAAGAATCATTCTTGTCATCAGATTGAGGAGGAGATGGCTGTTATTGATATTGTTATGCGTAAATGCATTATTATGTATAATTGCACTATTACTCTAATAATTGATATTATTCTTGATTGCAAGTGGTTATCCTTGGAGCCAATTCATTTTGTTAAGTTATCTTATAAGGTTCTGGTCGTTTTGGTTGTTCTATGTCTTCTTCATCATCTTCACTTTAGAAATTCTCTCGTTGCACAAATACTTAAGGTTTTTATTTATTATTTGACTCCTGCTATTTTTATGTGTTTTATATGTTTTATGTGTTTTATATGTATGAACTGTTTTCTTATCCCTTAAACACATTCACCTTTTTCTCTTTTTTTGTTCTCTACAACACTTCATTAAAGATATCGTTTATCAAGATTAATTTGTGCTCTAAATATTGTTCTGAGAGAAATTAGGCTATATTTATTGACGATTTATAGTTGAATTCTAATTGAAGCATTTTGAACACTTATTCTGTGAATCTCAAATCATTTTTGGAATAGAGCTCATATCCTTTATCAACCAAGGCTAACAAACAATCTTAAGCAATAGGTACATTTATAAAAGCTTGAATTGTATTCAATTAAAATGTAGTGGAGTATTCTCAAAAAAAAAGTTGGGTTGTTATCCTTAACATATTCAAATGCAAATTATTCTTTGTATTCAGCCTTCTTCATTGTTTTCTTAAAATTTTCATATTAATTTTATAGATCAGAGCTCATTTCAAAATTCAAATTAAAAATATATTAACAAATTTTTATCAATAATTTTATGATATTTTTTATTAGCATTTCATCAAAAAATAATAACATCATAAATTTAATCTCTTAGAATTATAGTTAGTCCTTCTGTTTCCAAAAAAAAGAATTAACAAAATGATGATAATTTTGTAGCATTTCAATTTACTAAAATTAAAATTTCTAACAAACAGTAATGTTTAAAATTATAACCATTGGTTTAGTCTATCAAAAGTAAAAATTGCATTTTACAATAAATTTTGAAAGCTATCTCAGTTTTTTTGTTGCATTTTAATACTAATTATCAACTTTATTAAAGGATGACTTATGACTTTTATTTATAATGATAAAATACTAAATAAATGGAAAAGAATGAAGGTTTGAAGGAAGAAGAAATAAAAATTGCGAAAGTGACACGCTTAGATAAAACAGGGTGCCCAATTGTAAGGGGGTAGAAGGGACACAAAATCACATTTTGCGATGAAGTGATAGCTGGGAAACCTATTCATAATATAATTTTCGTCGAATGTTACAAACAATTCAATTTGCCTTCAAATGATATGGAAGTTGCTGATGAATGCTGCTTATTAATATGAAGAACTTTGATTTATTTTATGAGTTTGTTTTCTTTGAATTCAATTTTAACATTCATTTTAAAGAGTTTTGAAAACATGTCAATGCTGAACATTTCTTTATTGCAGTTGAATCAATCAATATATTGAAGACCTCTTTTTGATGATTAAAAAGGGTAAATTTATATCCTTGAGAAAAATTATTAACAATTATGGAAAAAGTTTAAAGCCAAACTTATTTAACATCACATACCACCTTAAGTACAAAAATTTAAAAACTTAACTTCAGAACTGACAAAAGAGGGTTTCCGATTTTGAAAGGATCTAAGTGTCATGGGATAAGTTTTAAGGATTAGATAAAATAGGGGGAACTGTAGACCGTAATACTAGTAGAGAGTTGGAAATAGCTAAATTATGATAATAAATAAAAGAAATAAGCAACAGAATGCTGTGTGATTTATTGATCAGTAATACCAAAAATGAATCCTTATGAAAATCGAGTTATATAGTTATTTGTGTTATATCAATTTATTAACAAAAAATCAGTTTTTTCATCATAAAGTGCTTCCAATTTATTAATAATTAATTAACTCATAGATTGTTAGGCTTAGTAAATTCTGTCAATTACTGATGTTAGAACATCTGATTGAATTTTTACATGATATGGTTAAAATTAATTGATGCATAGATTATTGCATTCTAGAATCAAAACGTCTTCCATAAAAGAGCATTCTATTGCTTTTAGAGGTTGTACAAATTTCACAATTCCTGATTAAGAGTTTTTTTAAAGGACAGTGTGAATCAAATAACCTGAATTTACATCAAGAATTAAATACTATATATTCTTTAATTATTAATTACATTTTATTAATTTGCTAATTGTATCAATTCACAAGCCTAATAAACTTCTATTTCTTTGTTAATTTTGTATAGGTTTTATACTCCCTTTTTCTTATAATTTTTAACTGAGCATTTCAATAAAATCCACAAATACACATAGTTAAAATCTGAAAGTTTATTATTATGATTATATGGTTTCAAATCCTCTAATTTTAAGACAGGTTGAGAATTTGTAAAGTTATCCCAATCAAAATTTTCTATAATATCCCAATTGACAAATAACCCTTCACTTTATTTTTTGTTTGTAACTTTTAAATTTTAAATTATAGATACGACCTTATTTTTTAATTGTTAATACAATTGTTTCAACTCATTCAAATCCTCATTGATCGTTAATAGAATTATTAACTCAAGAAGCTTTTTTGAGTAAACAATTTCCTCTTTTAAATTTATTATCTAATTAGAAATAATCTTTACATTGATAATCTACATTGATGGTATTTAGTAATTATTTTATTTGGCAACAAACCAGATGGATAAATAGAGATGCAATATTGTGTTGTGTTTTGACTAAATAAATGATATAATAATTACTCTTAGCAGCTCTAAAAATTGATTTCTATATGGATTAACTATTAAATTGATTTTCTTATTTTTCAATTCTTTCATCTCCGAATTATTCTCCAATTCTTTATAGAATATATGTTAGAATTCTAACTCAACATTCTTTGTATCATATATCCATTATTACTATTATTTCTCTTCTTTTTAATTCTGAATGGTCTCATCAATAAATATTTAATCTTCACAAAAAAAGGACATTATTGAATATACTAAAGGCAATTTCGTAAGGAATAGGTAAATTGTGAATAGTCCTACTTCATATCCAAGTGTAAATGAAGTTTTTCTACCAAGTAAAAGGCCATCTAAGATTGGCTAAATTAGTTTATCTAAAATTAACTTCTCCAGAAGAGTAGATAGGAACGGGCATTCGGTTAAGAGATCATTAAAAAACATAAGAACATCTTCAAGTTTATCTAGTTGATCTTGTGAATCTATTTTGAAAGTCCCTAGCATTTATTAGATTTGTAATGTGTATTTATTGTATACTTATTTAAAAGGCGAAGAGGTTAGATAAAGTTTAAATTAAACCATAATTTTAGTTTAATTAACAATAACTGATTCTGTTTGCTTCCCTTTTTTTGGCTCAGATGACACTATGATGAATATTCTACAATATTGTACATTTTGATAAACTGAGAACTATATTTTAGCTGGTGTTCTTAACTAATTCATCTGGATAGTCAATAAACTTCTAAGCCTACCATAGTAATGGGAAGGTACAATATCGCTAATTGAAATAAAGATAAAAATTTTCTCTATTAATTCTGATAGCAATAGTCTTTAAGAAATTCACATAATAATCTACTATTTCTGGATTATTAAAGTCGTAGTTATGGTTAATAAAATCATGCAAAGCTGGGTTGCTTAAGGCATAATTTATATTGAGTGGATTTTAAAGATTAGTGCTATAATGACACAACAATTTACATAACCATGGATGTCCTTTCAATAATAAAAATAGTTAACTGATGATTAGCAGATTTGAGTTTCTGGTAAAATAGGCTTAATATATTATGTTCAGCCAAATAACTTAATAATCTTGATAGCATACTCAAATATTTCTTCTTTTTGATGATCTCCAAAAAGAAAGTATTCAGATAATTCTTCTATGATCTATTTATATTTATGGCTCTTTTCAGGCTTTTGGAGATCTAAGTGCAATTTTTTTACATCTTATATTACTTTCATTAATTATAACAAATTTGTATAAATGTATTAATAAAAATCATTAATTTATGGATAATAAAGTTCACCATATTGATTTTGGGAAATAAAAAAAAATTAAAGGCCTTTTTATAGCTGTAATTCCCAATGATCTACAATTTTTTTGTCCTTAAAGAATAGTTGAATTTTTATCTCATATTTTTTGCTCTAGTTCATATAAACATAATATTTGCATAGGTTTAAATGAAAGTCTCAAAAATATTATCGTGAAAGAATTAAATGAGTTTATAAAAGGATCTTGACATACATTACTTTTTCCTAATTTATAACAATTTTTATTTATTTAATTGAATGTAAATTAAATGCCAATTTTTCACTACTTTTATGTATTCATTAATTAAAAATCAATTAAATGATTTAAAAAAAGCAAGTCTAAATTGTAAACAAGAAAATAATATTTGATTTTGTTAAATATTTGTTGTAAGTAATTAACAGGTGAAGCTGTTCATTACTTAGTTTCAATTATCAAAGTATTATTTAAACATTAAATTGGACATATGATATTAATCAAAGGATTTGCTTACTCATGATACTAAAGAATTTCAACTTTATGATTATAATCTTAATTAAATAATTTTTAGAGATAATTACATGTTCAATGCTATTTCATTTATGTTTCCCCTTTCTACTGTCAATCTCACCAATAATAGAATCAAAACCTTAAGAAATTTAATAGAACGAAATGGAGGGACTATAGAACTTAACTCTCGAACTATTATGATTGTTGGCTCTGATGCAACATCAGAATCATGCTAGAAATAACTAGAAAAAATGCATTTAAACTTTGAATAATATAGATAGCAGTTCATTAATGCAGATTGGATATCTCAATCTCTTCAAGCTAAAAATCTGTTAGATTTTAAGAAATATCAATTATTTTCTGAAATAGAGCAAAAGCAAAAAAGGGTAAGTCCTTAATCGACAGATACAAAGTTTGTGTACATAGAGTCTTTAGCAAAGACAGTTCCACTTAAAGAAGATGCAGAGGATTCATTGGATATGGAAAGCGGGGAATATACAATTATTAAACCTGAAATGAGGGAAAAGTATGAGAAGAAAAAATAGGAATTCAAAAGACAAATGATCAAGGAGAATCGATTTCTATTGGATTATGAATATGACAAAGATTTAGATAACTATCATCATCAAGTGGATGACGGTTATGAATTTTTATTAGACAATTTTCAAATTTTAAAAAAAGAAGAATTTGATGCTCCTCAATAGAATAAATTTTATGGAGATGAAGATTGTTAAATTACAGAAATTCGTAAACCTTCAATAGATATCTTTTAAGGATTGGATATGGGAAAGGCACTTGTAAATGTAGATTAGCCTTTAGTGAATGCATAAATAAAAGAGACTAAGTAATTCCAGCCAGGGTCCAAACAGTAAATATAATATTGGGAGAACAAAAGAGAGTTCTTCATTTGCGATGCAGGATCAGCCTAAAAATGTTACAATAACTAGATTATAGAGGAATTAGAAAAGTTACTAAAAATATATACAAATGAAAAAGACAAAGGAAGATGTATTGCCTATCGAAAGGCTATTGGTTATATAAAGTCATTAACCTTTCCAATAAGATCAAGTGAAGATTTAAAGGAGATGCCAACGATTGGAGAAAAAATCAAGAACAAAATAATTGAGATCATCTAAACGGGTTAATTAGTGAAAGTATAAAAATTGCAAGGATAAGAGAAGAATGTAGCAATCACTTAATTATCTAGAGTTTGGGGGATTGGACCAACAACAGCAGCTACATTTTATTTTAAAGGAATAAAGACTTTGGATGATTTGAGGAAGAATCAACATTTGTTAAATAGGAATTAATAAGTTTGTTTACAATTGGTAGAGGAATTAGAATAACGGATTCCAAGAGATGAGGCAACAATTATTTATGATATTGTGAAAAGGGAAATCGATGACTTAAGTGGAGTGCCGGGATTATACAAGGCTACGGCTTGTGGTTCATATAGAAGAGAAAAGGAGACTTGTGGAGATATGGATATTTTAATAACAAGATGTGATGGAAAGAATACTGATGGTTTCTTATTGAATTTAATTTAACGGTTAGAAGGAAAATTGCTTACTCATCATCTCACAATACCTAGGAGGGGAGAACATGACACTGAGTCATATATGGGGATTGGAAGAATCAGTAATAATGCAATTCATCGTAGAATAGATTTAAAATTTTATCCTAAAGAACAGTATGGTTGTGCAGTTTTGTATTTCACTGGTTCTGATCAATACAACAGAAGTATGAGGCTATGGGCTTAAAAAATTGGATATAGTCTAAGTGATCATGGTCTCTATCCAACTTAAAGAGGTTCTCAAAATAAGGAATTATGGAAAGGAGAAGTGATAGCTTGTGAGGAAGAAATCGATGTTTATAGAATTCTTGGGTTGTAATACAAACCACCTAAAGAGAGATCAGTATGATTTAAATTCGTTAATATAATACTCTTATTATAATATACATAAACTCAATAGAACTTTATCAATTTTACAGCAGAAAATCGTATTCTATATGTGAATTCAACCGATATAAGGCATTTGGTAACAATTAAGGATAAGAATTCTCAGATTCTTCTGACATATCAACACCAATCTTTTATTCCTCAAAAAAGGTGTTTGTATCAATGACAGAGTACGATTTTTCATAATTTACTGGGACCATTGCACTCTCACTTGATAGGTCTTCAACTTTAACAAGAGGAGATGAGATTGTTTATTAGGTTTCCTTTTGAGAGATTACGGAAAAAACTGAAACAAGAGTCAAGAGAGCGAGACCTATTTTACCTAATCTCGAACAACGACCTAATTGTTGGAGAATAGACAATTAATCTCGTATTTTTGAGCTCTTGTTTGTTAATTTTTGATGTTTAGTTTGTAGCTCTTCCAATTGCTTCCTCAATTAAGCATTGTAATTTAATTCTTTTTGAGCCTAATTTTCTAATTGTTGTAAATATTATTTCTTCCTATCTCTAGAGTTTTATGCACTGATTCTATTTCTTATCATTTATATAGTTTTCTTATCATTCTCCCTTAGAGGATCATCATCTTATTTCTTTCTCTTTATTTTCTTACTACTCTAAACTATTTCAGGTTCCTCCTTATGTTTTCGTTATTTTGCCTTCTCTCTTCTCATTGTACGCTTCAACTTCTCTACAAGTTTTTGGAAATCTTAAAAATTATTAGAATTTTCTTCTTACTTTATGGGTTAGATTTTTGCATCTCCATGAGTCCTTCTTAAGACGTTTATAGAGTCTCACTCATATACTCAAAGAATTCTTGTTAACTAGTACTCATTTTGCTAAAGATTTATATTAAAATATTGGATTAAAAACGATAAATTTTATTCGCTTAATACACAACCTTTGTGAAATAACTGCAATACCATAATTTAATGTTACTAAATTATTATCCCAATAAACTCCAGTCTACTATAAACATTCTTCCCCTCCTTTAACTATCCTATTGATCAATTAATTTTTAACTAAGTACTACAGGAGTTGAATACAATAAAATACAAAAAACAGATTCAGAATACATCCTTCAATTCAAGTGTTTAGTAGAAAACATATATTTAAGTTAAACAAACTGGATTTAACATAACATCATTATATTGAAATAATGGTTTTTAAATTAGTTTATTTTTCACATAAAACTTATTTCTATATATAATTTAATATAATAAAAATCTCTAAAACTCTTCAACCTTATAATAATTCTTTATGTTTACAAAGAGAATTGAAAAATAATCTAATCCTTTAATATTGTTACTAGATAAAGAAGAATGTTAATTTAGGGGCATACTAATTAAACGAAATATAATAAGTTTATTTTCAGGTTCTATTGATGTGCCCTTGAAATCATTTAAAAAATATTAGAAAATTCATTATAAAATGTTGAATTCTAAAAGATTCTTGTATCAAGTTTTCAACTTAATTTCATTTATAAGAAAATAGCTTTTACTTATTTACATTAAGATATTAAATGAGAAGGATATTTTTTGTGAATTTGCACTAAATTCATAGATTTTTGTAATTCAAGCATGTAATAGTGATTATTTTTTTATCGTTTTTTAATTATTAATATTATAGATAATCAATGAAGACTCTAATACTTGTAGTATTAATTTGCTATTGCGGTTCCTAAATGTTAAGAGGGTCACCTAAGTCTTTAATTGAAGAAGAGCAAGGTAAATGTGAATGATGAATGGCAGCAATATTCGAGAGTGAATTAGAAGATTAAAGCTTTTATGTAGGGAGCAATGATGTATCGGCAGAGACTCTCGAAGGTTAGGAGACAGTGGAAGTAGATGCAAGTTTGGCAGTGTTTAAAAGCGACGATAACCCCATGGTGTACGTTGAGGAGCCAATAGAATCAAGTATTTATATAAAAAATAAATGCGAAGATTAAGAGTAAAATATTGAGCAATAAGAATCTTTGAAAATTGAGAAGGTTGATGAAGAGATCTAGTATAATTTTACAATAGATAATAAAGAGCATAAGAATTACCCGAAGCAACAAATGATTAAGCTAATTTTGTCGATAAAGCAATAATATTGGATCCAGAATAAGATCAATAGGCATCTCAGAATAGCTAAACTGATGTTGTTTTGAACATAGCTCCCAAGACAGAGTCATTAACTAGTTCTGATGCTAATAAAAAGCATATCTATGTTTACAATCGTACATTTGACTCTTACTAACTTAGCTTTGGCAAAGAAACCTTTTGTTGGTATTAAGTACCCACCAATGCCAGTGACAAAGGATCGCAATTATTTGTCAAACTCTGAAAGTCTGACTATCAAATTGCCTGCATGGTCTGAGCAAAGTAATCACAGAGTTGAAGATGATTTGGAATTCTTCCAATTTATTAGACGTATACACCCTTTAATATAGTAGCATCTGATGTATCAGTTAATGAATATTGAAAGAACATTTATTATATAATTCATTTTTTTCAAAGTTGCAAAAATCTAAAAATATTATATAATAAATAATGTAACAAGAAGAGAAAAAGAAAGGGGACGGTGGGAAAATGGAGACCATAGTAAGAATACATTAAATCTGTAGAAAATTATGAATGGTTTCACTGATAAGGAATGGAATCATCTTGATAGGATAGAGAGAATTGAGCTTACTCTTGAAGATTTTGGGAGAATGAATGTTATTTAGGTATTCAAAAATTTGAGATCTTTGACTCTTATAAATGTAGGGATTACAATTATTGAAGTATGAATTGAGTTATTTAACAAAAGGGATTGGATGAATTGTCCAAGTTGGAGGAATTAAATTTGAATGAGAATTCAATTACCAAATTGAATGGACTAAAGGGGATCGTTAATGTAAAATCCATATACATATCACATAATGCAATCCAAAAAATTGAGGGATTGGAAAATCTCACTAAATTGGAGACTTTGTGGCTTTGCGATAATAAAATTGATGCAATTCAAAATTTAGAAAATTTAGTTAATTTGAGATAATTATGGTTAGCAGCCAATCAAATAAGTTACTTAAGAACATCTCTTGACCGACTTAAGAATTTACATGATTTGAATATAAGTGGAAACAAAATTTGTAGTTTTAAAGAGGCATTAAATTTAAATCGTTTACCAAACCTAAAGGTTTTAGCATTTTACGATCCTCATTTTGGTGATAATCCTATTTGCAACCTGTGCAACTATTAGACCTATGTTTTATATCATTTAAGAAACATTTACAAATTAGACACTTTAATTATATCAGAGGAGTAGAAATCTTTTGCTGAAGGTACTTTTATGAAAAAGAAAATGTATTATAATATGAGAATTAAGACCATGTAGAGGACATTTTCAACCTTATGCAAGCTATTAAAGAAAGGCAAGAAAATTAAGATGGATTCCTTATGTGAAGACATTTCAAATTTGAATATAAAATTAGCACAAGAGGCTGACAAAGAAAGACAATAATAATTAGAGAATAAGCAGGAGGAATATGAAAATTAAAATGATATTTATAACAGTATAAAAAAGAAGGTTTATGAATATTGTAATCAAAGTATACACAAATTAATAACTGAATTGGAAACAGGTGGAAACATCAGATTAGAAGAAGGTAAAGCAAGTGAGAAGTGGTATGTTTCTTGTGTTGATCTTATCAATTCTAGATTTCACTCTGAAAATATGGCTTAGTATGGGATTAAGGATATTCAAATCAAGAGAGTAGTGAGGATTCATAACAAATTCATTCGAAATAAGTTTGAAGAAAAGATGGAATCTCTTGTGGATGTATCCAATCAGAGCCATAAGAAATCATTAGAGTATCTCTTTTACGGAGTAGACCCTAATTTTTAATCTGAAATTTATAATGTGATTGAAGAAGGTTTCAGAGGTTGTTAAGTAAATAAATAATATAAATTAAGGAATCAAAATAAATTGGATTAAGTGCATATACACCATTAGTGAATAGCATTTTGGGAGCAGATGCATCAAGAATTCAATATATTTTGAATGGATAAGATCATAAACAGAAATTGAACAAAAGTTTTATTAGAAGGAGGTTATTTATTTCATATATGTTAGATTATAATATAACAATTAGAATGTGATCCCTCCAGGAGTCTTGCTCATTTGTAAAGTTCTTATGATTAAGTCTGTTCCTGATTCAAAGTATCCATATTTCAATCCTGAACAACCATGGAGTGAGATGTTTTAGAAATAATCGATTGATGGAAAATAATATTAAGATGAATATACGGTTTATAGATAAATGGAGAATGATCCAAAACACAGATTATGGTTTGTTTTAGATAACAATTTAGTTTTACCAGAATACTTTGCAGAATTTGAATATGTAATGAAATCACCATTACAAAATAAAATTGCTGACTTCGGTTCTGCATTAGGTGTTCTAGAATAAGAAGATGATGATTTCATCACTCCTGCTAACATCAATTTGTAGAAGGAAAACATCAATGATTAATATAATTAATTGGCAGACGATTTAAATACTTATTAGTTTGAGAATTTAGAAGAATATCCTACTTATGAACTTAAGGCATAGGATTTGGATCGATCAGAATGTGCCTCATTAAAACCAGCTTTAATAAATTATTTTAAATATTGTCTAAGTAGATCAACATTGTATGAATTGAATCCAAATTTAGTTGGCACACCAGATTTGAATGAAATTCTTAAGAATTAGACTTAATTTTTAAATTTAAGTAATTGTTGTGTGCAAGACATTACTTTTGTAAAAGGTCAATTTCACACTCTAATTTTAAGTTATAATAAAATAAGTACCATTAATGGTTTGAATGAATTACCAAATTTGGTAAGACTAGATTTATCGCATAATGAAATTAGCAATTTGAATGGGTTGTAACACTTGAATAGTTTGGAAGTCTTGGATTTAACACATAACAATATCTAAGACATTGATTAGATTGCTTTACTTAAATACAATTAGTCATTAAAGTATTTATGTGTTGCGTTTAATCCAATTAATGAGTACAAGGAAACAAGAAAAGAAATAGTAATGATTTTGAATACTTTATAATTTTTGGATCATTTACCAGTAACAGATGAAGACAAAGAGAAAACAACCAATCAAAAGCAATTAATCACAACGGCCATGCTTCAAACATTCAGCAAAGTCTAAATGGATTGGAAGTAAAATATTCAATCAGTAATGATTACTCATTAGAAATTGAGTAGTATGAAAGGATTGGAAGGTTTGGTACAATTGAGACATTTAAATCTGGGTCACAACAAAATAACATAGATAACTTCATTATAGGATTCAGTACTATTGGAGGAATTAAATTTAGAAAAGAATTAGATCATTTAAATTTAGGAATTGGATAACATGCAATATTTAAAGAAGCTAGAATTAGGAGGCAATAAAATATCTATAATAGATGGAATTTCTAATCTTATTAACTTGATGCAATTGTCATTAGAAGACAATGCAATACTTAATCTGAAAGAATTTCCAGATCTCAAAAGTCTTATGGAAATATATTTAGGAAATAACAATATTACAAACTAAAAGGAAATTAACAATATTAAACATTTACAAAAGTTAATCATTTTAGATCTCTCTGGTAATCCCTTTGCTAGAGATACTAATTATAGAGCTTATGTACTCTATATCATTCCAAAGCTTAAGGTTTTGGATGGTATTTCAATTGAAGCTTAGGAATAATAGATGGCTAAGAATCTATACACTGGTAGATTAACAGATGAGATTCTCTACTCTAGATTATAAGGGTAACCAGCAAATAAAATAACAGAATTATGTTTACAAAATTGTGAACTCAGAGATTTTGAGGATGTATTCAACGCTTAATAATTTCCATAACTTGTTGAATTGGATTTGAGTCACAATTTATTCACTTCTACAAAAATGCTTGGATTCTTGCCACAATTGAAAATCTTGATTTTAGCATCCAATAAAATTGATACTCTTCTTTATCCAAATGATATTAATTCAAAAAAAGGTCTGAATGGATGTCAACAATTATAAATTTTAGACATCTCCTAAAACTGCCTAAAAGAATTTAATGGTCTATAATATTGTTTACTTAAGGAATTAAAAATTATGAAATGTGAAAAAAATGAAATTGTCAGGGTTGATTACTTGGAAAATTTGAAATAGTTGAAAGAATTAGATTTAAACTAAAATAAAGTAAGGCAGTTCGATCCTCAATCATTTGCTGGATCTAATCCTATTAGATGCTTGAAGATAGATGGAAATGGACTCAAGAATTTTTAGAATATTTAAAAATTATATAAATTATTGGTATCTATAAATTTAAACCTAGCATTTATTTGCTAATTCAAATAGAATTAATGATTTACCAGACATCGAGCACTTAGTTCCATTAACACAACTTAAGGAATTAGAATTAGTTGGAAATTCTTTAAGTCGAAGACCTGGTTATAGATAAATGGTACTTAGGAAGTTGCCTACAATTTTGTATTTGGATGGCAGAGTATATAAATTATTCTATTCCTACTCTAGGAAGTTACTACAAGAAGAAAGAGAGAGATTAGAGCTAGTTGATAGACAAGCTGTGCTTCCAACAATGTAAATTTAATAACAGCCAAATACAAAAGTTCCTGTTAAATTAAGTTCGATCAATTTTGATGGAATCTTTAGTAAATGAAAATATCAATAATTTCTATTTAATAATCATTTAACATTATTAATGAATTAAAATTATTAGAATTGTATTAGTAAACTAATCCAATAATGAAAATATATATACCCTTCAAAATGTTAAATTTCAAGAATCAATTATGATTAATATTATTATGGTATCTTAAATATTTATGATTTTATTCATTTTATTGATTATTCAATTCAAGATAGAATTAAATTTCAATTTATCTATGATAGGAATAGATTAGATTGATTGATATAGATTAAATAAAAAATTAAACTAGTAATTTTAATGAGTGTAAGAACAAGGTCTAATGTACTAATGAAATATAATTATACATTATTTTCATTTTATATAAAGAGCATCTTGAATTTAATTATTAATGCAATAACAAACAGGAAAATTCATGGAATTCATTAATAGTAGCGACAAGCTAAGAATGAATGAGTTGAAACAAATAGAACAAGAATAATACTATATTAGTTAGCTGAAAGAATAAAGGGAGAGAGTACTAATTTATTGAAATAACATTATAGATGGAAGTTCTAAAAGTTGAATTTTTGAAGAAGGATTAGGTAATTGGGGAATTGTAGATTCAAAATTAGAATTTGATGGATGATCTTTCAGAGCTCCGAGCTGCTTTATAAGAACAGATGAAAAATCAAGAGAAAGAGATGAATAGATCCAAGAAATACATTTAAGAAAGAGATGACTTAATGAGAGATTTTTAAGAGTTAAGTGACTTAGTATAACATTTGAGAAAGGAAAATGATAATTTGAATGTGAGTAAAAATTATAAATTTAGTCGTTACATTTGGATTAATAGCGACAAAAAGAAGAGCAGAGAATGTAATGGGAGATAGAAAATGAGTAATTGAAAGCTGAAATCTAAAAGTTAGATAATTTATTATTTGCAATGGAACCTATAAAAGAGGAAAATCAGATATTGAAAGAAGAATTGAAGAATTACAAAAGTGAGAGAAAGAAAATCTAGAATGAAATGAAATAAAATAGGATAGAAATAAATAAATAATTAGAGGAATTAAAGCAAGTGATATAGGATTAATAGTAAGAGATAAAGAAATTGCAGTAGTATAAGGAAAGTCATCATTAGATGAAATATTAGTTAAATGAATTAGATAGACAAATGGGAATAGTGAAGTAAGAGAATGAGAAAATGAAATAGGAATTGAAGAGATTTTATGAAAAGGAATAAAGTGAGATAAAGAGGAAATCTGAAATTGACAGAGTATATTATTGTTTAAATGCTTAGGTGAGACAAGATTTAATTTCAGTAAGGAATTAGGAAGTCGAGAAATTAAATGAAATATTTAAGGGTATGTAAATTCCTTGAGTTTTAATACTAAATTTAATTTTTATAGCATCAAATTCTCTTATTTTAGTAAATATTTAAATTAAATAAAGTGTGCTAGAATTTATTAGGCATATCTTAATAAAATCAATTCAATTCATCTTTTGAGTTTGATGATATTAATCTTAATCTTTACAAAATTAATTAATATATTTTGAAGCTTTTAGATAAAAGTATCCATTAAATTTTATAATTCATAACTTATTTACTAATATTGTCCCCTTTATATGTTTGTTAATAAATAGATTATAAAATATAATTTATCGAATTAAGATCTAAATAATAGTATATAAAGGAAAAGTTTTGAGTAATGGACAAATCAGCGAATGATAGAGAGAGAAATTTATATGAAATTTAATATTTATATTTGATTTATGAATTCTCACTTGACGTTGACATATAATTTCTTAACTTATTCTGGTAATTCTTTGAAGAAAGGGTGGTCACAAGCGGCTTTGGCTGTAATTCTTTAATCTGGGTTAATTTTAAGCATTTTGATCAATAGGTCTAGTCCATCTGGATCAAGTCTTGGACAAAACTTAGCCAAATTATCAGGTTGATATTATTCAAAGTTTTCGGGTTTCCAGCTTGGAAGATCATTCAATTTTGGATATTCCTAGAATAGTGAGAGTAATTTACAATAGGTGTAGGAGTACCAAGGACTCTGAATATCTTTTTTAATTGATCAGTTTCATTGCTTCCAGCAAAAAGAGGTTTAAGATTTGACATTTCAGCAAAGATACAGCCCACACTCCAGATATCTATTGAGGTGTTGTAGTTTTTAGAGCCCAACAAGACATCTGGTGGTCTGTACCATAGTGTTACAACTTCATGAGTGAAACTTTTAACAGGGATTCCACTAGCTCTGGCGAGTCCAAAATCAGCAAGTTTGAGTATTCCGTCTTTGGAGACCAAAAGATTTTGAGGTTTGAGATCACGGTGTAATATTTTTTATTAATGACATGCTTAGATTCCTCTTAAGAGTTAATAGAGAAAGCTTTTGACAATAACAGGTTCCATGCCTTTCTCTTTGGGGAATTGAGCAAAGAATTTCTTAAGATCCATTTCAACATACTCAAAGACCAGTACGAGCTTCTTATTTGAATGCACAACCTCCATTAATCTAGATAGAACGAGTATTACTTCACAATGTTTGGATGATTCAACTCTTTGAGAAGAGAGATCTCTCTGATGGCAGTACTAGGAATGCCTTCCTCTTCTGACTCAAGTCTGATTTTTTTTAATGCCACATACTCATTAGTGTTACGGTCTAAATGCAAATAATAATAGGATGCATACCCAATGCCTTATACACAATTCCGTAAGTACCTTCCCCGAGCTTCTCCTTCTTCTCGTATTTCTCCAATTTATTAGATTTCATAATATTAAATATTAATGTACGATTTTTATTTTCATTTTCAATCAAACAAACCACCCATATCAACATCTTCCTCTGGTTCTTCAGCTTTCTTGACTTCCTTGACTGGCTCTGCCTTTTTGGTCTCAGCAGCAGCAGGAGTGGATGTAGTTTGAGTCTATGGAGCACTGCTTGCACTTCCACTGCTACCATGCAACAAATCCCCAACTTTTTTGCCCTTGAGTGCTTTCTCAAATACTTTGGTCCAAATGGGTTCGACTCTCAAATTTGAAGCCTTAATGATTTTGGCTAATTTAGTGGCATCGATCTTATTATCACATTTTCAAGTACATCTTGATTGTCTTCATATAAAATGAGGGCTGCGTATGTGCATGCAGCTTCTGAAGTAGCTTAGTCTGCAATTGGTCTAGTGTCCTTTGCTGCTTTGGCCATTTAATTTTTTAAAATATTAATTAAAAAAAGATATACAAATTATGCTCTTCTCTATCTCACCTTAGCCTCCATTCCAAATCCATCACCGAAAACAAACCACCTTTCAAGTCATCAATCTGGTTGACCACCCAATCCTCTTTAGATTCAAGAATGATAACCTAATAAGAATAATGCCTTCCTATGGTATGATTGCTCCCAACGAAAGGAAATTAATTTCGGTGACCAACAAAGCTAGTCAATTTGACACGGATGTGTTACTAGAAGCTATTAATTATGTTGAGGAATATCTCGATATGCTTGAGTATTCCAACCCTCAATTGTGGGTTGAAAAATAACCAGGAGTATTGCCCACTCAAATGCTCTCTATCAGAATGAACATCAATACAGATGCATCCAGCACTCAATAATCAGATAAAAAATAAACTTTTGAAGAAGTTATGAAATAAGAGCCTATGCAATTACAAAGATCATAACACACCTTTAGTCGGTTATAAGAACAAATCGTCCATAAAAATAGTCTTGATGGTTAAGAAAGCAGAACTTCAAATATCTTCAATAATACTCCTAGCATTAGTCCCATTTTGTAGGATGCAAGCAGATTAAGTGCTAATATCAGTAGAGATGTAAAATAACCGACCTTTTTTACAGAAACTTATGAGATTCCTCAAGAACCTATTGAAAAATTCTAAGAGAAAATGGATCTTGAATAAAACTATCAGAATGAACCCTCCGAATCTGGTAATTTTAGATGCAACGACGAGGAAAGATCAAACCATGAAGTCTCAGGAATACGCTCTTAAACTTCCATAATTAAAGTCGAATAAGTCTAATTAATTTCCACTTTGAAGTAGAAAGAGCAACAGATTATCAAGTAAATTGATTAAATCAAGACAAGCAAGGACTAGTTGAATGATGAATTAGAAAAATTGAAATTTAAAGCAATGTTCAAAAATAAAGAAAACCACAAATGTACTACAATTATCATAATTTATAGAGGATTAATAAATATTAATCGGACATTTGTTAATCGTTAGTGTTATATGTCTAATATTGGGAGCATTGTTAAAAAAGATTTAATAACTTTTTTGATACTAAATGAACAATAATCACTATTATATCAATACATTCCTTCCATTCCTCCCATGCCTCCCATATTTGGGGCTCCTCCAGCTTTTTCCTCCTTTTTTCCTTCAACAATCATACATCTAAATTAGAATGATAATTATACTCTGTTGTTGTCATTAAACTGGCACACTGAGGCAGCATCAACAAGTGCGGTTCTTACAACTTTTGTTGGATCAATGATACCAGCCTTGATCATATTGACATATTATGATTTTGAAGCATCATATCCGAATTCTTCGTCTTTTCCTTCCAACAATTTTCCAACAACAACAGCTCCTTCTTCACCAGCATTTTCAACAATGGTTCTGCATGGTAATTCAATGGCCTTCTTGACAATTTGGATACCGATGTTCTAATCGAAATTGTCTCCCTTGAGTTTATCTAAAACTCTTGTGGCATACAATAAAGCACATCCACCACCTAAATTTTTATTTAATTTTTATACCTACAACAATACCCTCATCAACAGCAGCTCTGGTTGCATTGAGTGCATCTGTGATTCTGTCTTTGATTTCACCAACTTCGACTTCTGAAGCACCACCAACTTTGATGACTCCAACTCCTCCTTATAATTTAGCCAATCTCTCTTTGAGTTTATCTTTGTCATATTCTGAATTTGATTCTGTGACTTGAGCTTTGATGATTTCACATCTTTCAGCGATGCTTTCCTTGGATCCAATACCATCCATAATGATGGTGTCGTCTTTGGTGACAATGATTGATTTGCATTGTCCAAGAACTGTGTGATCTGATTTTTCCAATGTCAATCCAACATCTTCTGTGACCACTGTGGCTCCTGTTAAAACAGCAATATCATTTAAGATTGCCTTTCTGTTATCCTAAAATAATCAAATTTAATTCATACTCCAAAAGCAGGGGCTTTGACAGCACAGACTTTGAGTCCTCCTCTCTAATTTGTTGAGAACCAATTGAGCCAAGGCTTCTGATTCAACATCATCAGCAATCAATAAAAGTGGCTTGTTCTCTCTTACAACATGTTCCAAAATTTAGAGAATTGATTGAATGTTAGAGATTTTCTTGTCAGTGATCAAAATGTATGGCTTTTCGAATTCTGTCTTTTATGTCTTTGGATCTGTGGCGAAATAAGGACTGATGTATCCTCTGTCGAATTTCATACCCTCGACAAATTCGATTTCGTGATTAAGTGTTTTGCCATCAGATACTGTGATGGTTCCGTGTTCTCCTACTTTATCCATGAGTTCTGCAATCAATTTTCCAATTTCAACATCTCCATTTGCAGAGATTGTAGCTACGTTTTCGATCATGTCCTTTGATTTGACAGGCTTTGATCTACTCTTCAAATCCTTAACGACTGCCTCGCAAGCCAAATTGATTCCTCTTCTTAAGTCCATAGGCTAAAATGGATATATATATAAATCCTTACATTGAGTCCAGCAGCGACACTCTTGACTCCCTCCTTGAAGATAGCTCTAGCCAAAACTGTGGCTGTTGTTGTGCCATCACCAGCTTCATCATTAGCTTTGGATGCCACTGACTTTACTAATTGAGCTCCGATGTTTTCGAATCTATTAGAGAATTCGATTGCCTTTGCGACGGTAACACCATCCTTAGTGATTTTGGGACCACCATATGGTTAATCGATGACTACATTTCTTCCCTTTGGTCCAAGAGTTGTTTGGACTGCATCAGCTAATTTGTCACAACCACGTAACATCTGTTGTCTGCACTCTTGTCCAAAACTCAATTCTTTTCCTGCAAAGAAAACTGGAGTAGAAACGAGGGATTTTCCCAATACAACATTGCCAAAAAGCTTTCTAGATGAAGAAATCATTAACAATTTAAAGACAATTAATTTATTAGTGAAAATTACCCACAATTAAATTAAATAGTCTCTTAATAGTATATTCTAGAAATTCTAGATTAAATTTATTTAATTTTATATACTCAATATCTCTTTTAGCCTCTTTGATGCTTCTTCTCTTACCTCTATTCTTAGGCTTAGTATTCTTTATTTGCAGTTTCCTCTTTCGGAACATAAAGATCTTAATCATTAGCCTTAGAGTTCAAATTCTTTTTGCCTTATTGATGTTTATTATTATTATTTTATTTCTGCTCATACGGTTATCTTTGCTGACTCTCTTATTTCTCTTCGTATTCTTACTGAATTTTCGGCTTGTTAGTTCCAACATATCCCCCATCTCTGTTTCTCTCCTTCTAAAGAACCTTCTTCTATTCATAATTTCCTTAAGGCCTATCATCCCGATCATAGTCGTCCCTTTTATAACAATCATCATCATTCCTTGAATATTCTTGATTCCTATTTTTATTTCTATATTGTTAATTATTATTGTTTTGGTTTTTTCTTTGATATTCATCATTGTTATTCTGGTAATGATTATCCTTAACATGTACTTTTATATGCTTTTCTTAATAATGACGATTATCATTGTTATTGTTATTTCTGTTTCCATTATCTCTTCTAAATTGATCATTCTCCTCATCACTGAATCCTGGCTCATTATGTTGTTATTTAATTTGTTATTACTACTTGCTCGGTTTCTTGAGAATTTTTACCTATTTATCATTATTATTATCTAAATTCTAATAACTCATGCTATGTCCTGAATTGATCTATGAATTTATTGATTTCTTTGAAGGTTATGCATACCTAATAAAATGATCATTAGGAACATAGTCATCATACTCATCTTCATCGCTACTTTTGTATTCCTTTTCAGGTCTTTGCAATGCTTCCTGATAATCATATGTATCATCAGGCTCATCATTGTAAAGCTTAGCTGTGATCTCAGCCATCTCAATCCTATCCTTTAATGGTTAATCAAATGCCAATTTTTATTTCTTTTTTGATACTATTTCAATTAATTTCTCTTCTGCTTGAATTGGTTAATCTTCTTCAATTTGCATAGTCTATTCTTCATTCTCAGCCTCATCTTATTCTATTGCCTGCATAATATCAACGGCAAATGTGGACTAGGTTGGATCGAAATTTTCAAAAGCATCAAAATTCTCAGGCTCTGTATTATTGGCTTTACCTTTGAGTCTTTCTCTCTCCTCCATTACTGTTGTCATTTGAAGAGTTACTTCTTCAATGTCCTCTTTTGGTAGATTAATTTGATTCCATGGTGTGTTCATTAACAACTCAATCATGTTAAAACCATTTTCATAAAGAGCTTCAAATAGAATCCATTCTTTGTTTTGGCTTGAATTTACCTTTTTAAATTTAAACTTCCTTTTTATAATACCAAAATTTTGAATCAAATAATTCATGTGCTCTTGAGCTTATTTTATCTATTTTGTCACTATCAATTCCTCAAGGTATTTAAAATAAATAACAAAGAAATCTATAAATCTTTACACAGCTTGTTTCAGGAAGTGATGTAAATTTTATAAAAACTAAGGTTTCCAAACACCTGAGATTTGTGTGATTCCTCTACTATATCCCTTAGCTAGAATTAATTCATAAAAAATCTATTCAAAACATTACATCACTTCTGTTTTAAATAGATATTGTTGTTATGGGAAATATTTGGCCCAAACAATAGCAGTTTCGATGGAATCTAAAATTAATGTGAGCAACTCCATTTTTCGTTGGACATCATTAATAATGATTTCATTTTCATTTGCTGATTTATTATTTATTGCAAACATCTCCTCATAAATATTCCCAAGAACATTTTTCATAAAGGAATCTATAGTAGATTTGTAATCGTCTTGGTAAGCTTGATATTTGAATACAAATTGGCAAATTTTCTTGACACCATCTAGGTTAATAGAATTATTATTATTACGATCGTTTTGTTCCCCATATATTGTGCAGATATCAGTCAATTTCATGATGTCAAAGATCCATTTTTAGTATACCAAATCGTATACACCAATTTATTCATATAGAATTGCATCTTCATTTTATAAATCTATTAGTCGGAGATAGATCGCAAAGACGCATTTGAAGATCTCTTTGATTAACACACCATAGTATCCTGTGAAATGCAAGGGTTCTTTGAGAAAGTGTTTTCTTGGTGCGTGTCTCAAGAAGAGATCTAAGGAATTTTGGAGATTTAAATTGTAAGAGAGCGTGGCCCAAAATTTACTTGGGTGATACTCAAGAAGAGTTTTGTAATCGCCTAGTATTTTTTAAGCTAATTTGATGTTGCCATTATTCTATTTTTATAATAAAAAATGACTTACAGTGTAATCGTCGGCAAGAAGGGAGAAGAAATTAGATTAGTCACTCTCATTTATGTCTTGAGAATGGACTTTTTTGGTTTATTTTTGCGTATGCTTCTGTTTTTTAGACATAAATTAAAATATTAAAGAATTTACGATGATGAATTCCTCAGCTGATAAAACACCACTGTTTAAATTTATCATAATTGGAGAAAGCGGTATGAATTAAATGAATCTTTGAGGTGTCGGGAAGTCATGTTTGCTGTTAAGGTACACAAAAGACGAATTTCTCTCTGAATACAATGTCACAATCGGTGTGGAATTCTCTTCTAAAACAGTGGAAGTCGATTAAAATACAAAAATAAAGTTACAAATCTGGGACACAGCTGGACAAGAGTCTTTCAGATCAATTGTGAGATCCTTTTATAGGAATGTTACAGCAGTATTTTTAGTCTATAATATTACCAAGTATAATATCATATCTATGAAATAGACGAGACACATTGGAGAAGTTGGATGGGTGGTTAAAAGAGGCTAAGGAGAATGCATCACCAAATATAGTGACTGTTTTGGTTGGAGCTTAAAACGATTTGGAGGATCAGTACAATTCTATATCATTTTTAGACGCCAAGTCTCTTACGACGAAGGAAAGTCATTCATAGACGAAAAGGGAATCAATTTATTTTTCGAGACCAGTGCCAAAAACAATGAAAACGTTGAACGGGTATTGAGTGAATTCTATTATATGCATTCACCGAAGCAGCCAAATTGGTGTTCTTGAACTATATAAATGAAACAGTGCGTAAAAATGAAAACAAAGTGTCTATTGCATTATCCGAATCCCACGACAATCCATAGCAGTAGCTCCAACCACAAAAGAAAAAGAAAAAAGACGACTCAGGGTGTTGTTGAAAAGGTGTAAAACCAACAATACATATTATAATATATATATTTATCTATAGCTATCACATTTTATGCGTTCTCATCATTGAACCCTCATTGCTTTTAGGTTGTCAAAAGTAATTGGTCTAACAATATACTACTCTATTCCTTCTCATAATCCTTTAATTAGATTTTGACCAAGTATCTGCATTCTCCCATTGTCTTATAATATAGAATATTTATGGAAATATGATTGTCTCAATATGAATACATTTTTATTATCATGATAAGAATTTGTTCTCTTTTTCTAACATAAATACGTAATGAAATAGAACAATAATTTTGCGATTAAGACTATTACTAAATACGAATTATTATATTACTTCAATTTTAATCTTAATGCATAGTCAAGCACTAAAAACCTAATATTAGACCTGAATAATAAACTACTAAAAACAATAATTATTAAATTTAAATTATTTATTCATCAGAAAATAACAGCATTATAGATATAAACATTGGAGAAATCTTAGTTAAGATTATAATTGGATGATTAGACTTTTGATTAATCTAATAATTTGAAAAGCCCAATTTAGGGATAAATAAACTTTATAAATCATTCTAATATTTTTTTTTGAATACTTTATCTCTTTCTTATCCAAATTCAAGCAGAATGTCTTAAAAATATAAAAAACATATAGAATTTCAAAAACGAATGTTGGTAGTAGGTAGCAGGAAAAAATTGAAACACTCATGAATATAAGAATACGTCTTAATTCATCTTATGCAGATAAATAAAATTATTCAAATAATTCTGCTTGTTTTGTATCACATAATTTACAATATGCTGTAAAGCTAAATACTAGATTTACAGAATTTTATTTGGCAGTATACTCATTATTAGAAATATGGCACCAATGCATATAATCAGATTAGCTAATCCTGAATTTTTTGAAGCAAAAATTCCAAAATACTTATCCTTTGTTTCATCACTCAATAAGAAGAAACAAATAAGGATGACAGATAGTAGTAAAATTATTATTTTTGGTATTAGGTTTTATAATAATTATAACGCCTAAACCCAAAGCTATTTCAATTAATTGTTATTTTGCAGCTTCAGAAAATTCTAAAAATTTGTCTTTTTGATCATCATTTAAATATAATAAAAAAATATAGCTAGTAAGTAGAATCAAAATAACTGACTTTTCTTGTATGTCCAGTAATATAATTATTGTGCTTACTAAAATACCTATAGCATTTAATTCTTCTTTTTTTACCATAATAATAAATAAATATAAAAAGAATTTTATTATCATTATATAAGCTTCTTAATAGAATTAGATAAATAGTTTCAAATACTCATAATATATTAGTTTATTGATTGCTAATTAAGTTTTGAGGAGGTAGTAACAGTGGAAATCTTATAACATCCCTATTAATAATAATTTAAAAGTGGACTAAGTTTTGGATAAGCTAATTTCAGATTTGAAATATTAATTTCTCTTAATTCCTCATTTATTTTAAATGAATCTCTTCATAATAGATTTTAATATTATGCTTACTTGTTTTTATCATCATATCCACAATTTGAATTACATTCAGGGTAATTAATCAGATAATGATGATTATTCTTGAAAAGAATATATTTATTATTAATAAATTTGTCAAAATATATAATTAAGTATGAGTGCCATCATGTCTCTATAATAATTAGACTAGTTACCAAGGGATTTTATCAAAAGAAAAATCCAGATCAACCTAGAATGTACAAACAAGTATTAATAAAAATAGAAACCAAGTATAAGGTTATTGAAGAAGCAGTTCAGCTGTTAGAATGGAAGATTACTCCTTCAGATATTGAATGCCATATCTTTTGGAAAGATACCTATGTAACTGATGAAGAATATCGTCGTTTATTACCATACTAGAGAATTAATCATTTTCCTGGATCGTATATGTTAGGCAAAAAGAATGAGCTATGTCGTAATTTGAATAGAATGCGGAAAATGTTTCCTGATGATTATGATTTCTTCCCAAGAACATGGCAATTACCTTATTAAAGTGAAGAGGTCAGATAAAAATAAGGAACAGGAATCTTTATTGTGAAACCAGAAGCAAATTGCCAAGGCAGAGGGATATTTCTAACCAAAAAGCTGGATCCCTTTCTTGATAAGCACTACGTTGTATAAGAATATCTAAGTAATCCATATTTAATAGATGGATTGAAATTTGATCTAAGGTATAAATTTATATAAATGCAGAATCTATGTACTCCTAAAGTCTATCTATCCATTGAAGATATTTATGTATCAAGAGGGTCTCGCAAGGTTTTCAACCAAAAAATATGTAAAGCCTTAAAAGAAAAACCTAGGCAGTGTTACAATGCATTTGACCAACTATGCTATCAATAAAAGAAGCAAAGAGTTTATATTCAATAATGACACTAATAATGATGATGTTGGACATAAAAGATCTCTGACATCTGTATTGAAAGTAATAATATTAAGTATTTAAAGTATTTGCAAGATCAAGGTCAAGATGTAAAATAATTAATAAATCAAATCAAACAAGTGATAGTTAAGACTATTTAAAGTGTTTAAGGAGAATTATCTCATCTATATAGATCATAATAACATAATAATGATGGGATTGAATAGTGTTTTGAGTTATTTGGATTTGATATTCTTTTAGATTCTTCACTTAAACCTTGGTTACTTGAAGTCAATCACACTCCTTCATTTTCTACTGATACACCATTAGATAAATTAATCAAAAGGAATCTGATCAGGGATACTTTGATTCTTTTAGATGTTAAAAATAAACCTAAAAAAATATACTTAGAATAGAAAAGAGCTCCTGTTTATTAGAGGCCGATCAAAATGAGTTTAGAAGAAAAAGAGAAATAATCAGCTAAGATGAGTCATTTTGAAGAAAATCACTTAAATGGTTACATCAAAATATATCCTGATGAGGTACATTAATATCTATTAACAGGTAGAATAAAGATTACTATGAATAATTTATGCCTCCCAAACCTAAAGAAAGAGAGAATAGAGAGAGTGTGATCATTCAATAGCTTGATTAATTTAAGAATGTAGAAAGAGCAATAAAAAGCTAGGCTGAAGTTAAACTTCCATAATAGAAGAAGAATGCCAAAAGATTATCTACTAACTAGTCTTTCAGTGATTTGGATGGTCAGTCTTTATAATAATTAACAGGAAGAAATATTGTAATTCCCTAAACTAGAACCACTTCTTAATAACGTCCTTTTAGTAGTATTACAACAATAAATAGAACAATAAGCGCTGTTAGAAAGGCTGCCTTAGCGAATTAATACTACAATTTAAATCAATCTTAAAATTAAAAAAGACTAGTTTATCCTCCACCAGTAGAACTTCCCCCAAAACCTGTTTACAAAATGATTCCAATTAAAACTTTTAGTTTCTAGAAAATCGAAAATAGTCAGAAAAATGAATGAAACAGATTAACGTACTTTATATTTATATGTTATTATTATTTATTACATTTCTAGTAATGCTTAATGTTATATTTTATAAGTAGAGCAAAAACTTAATTGATTTCAGGTAAGTAAAAGAAAGCAACAATTTTGTATGCACATAAATAGAAGAGTTTATTATTTTAATCAGTATTAATATTGTAAAATAATAAAGGATAGATTTAAAAATAAAGCTCCTTGATAATTTAATTAATTTATAATTTATTTGATTAACTCTATTAAATCAATTATAAAGAAATATGAAATATACTCCAATTTTAATTAAAATACAAATGGTAAATTATATAGTTAAAATATATGCTTTTGATCTGAATATAATATTATTTATAAAATCAGTAATCTAAAACATTATTTTCTAAATATAATTATAATTATATATATAATTTATTAAGATGAAGAATTGTTATATAAGAGCAAAGCAAAATCCAAAAATAGAGAGATAAATCAACCATCAGCATGCGCCTCCAGACTCTTTTTAAGGATCATTTAGTGGTTGAATAATCTGTATATTATTAGATTCGAGTATTTGTAACGTTGATGACACCTGTAGAGAACAATAAGCAATTGAAACTAAGTAAGTGACTTTGTAGAATTTCTAAGCAAATAATGTTGAAATTGTTTTACCTAAAAAGAAAGAGAAGATATTTAGTTCAAAATTGAAAACATGCTTTGTCGATTAATAATATGTAGACAACTTTGCAGTAAGTAAAATGACACCTGGAATTTCGGAACATAAAATAAAAAACCCATTTCAAAGTACTTAATAACCAGTCAGAAAGTTGAGTGATATACAAAGTGTCACTGACAAAGAATCATAATCCAGATAAAGTAGTTAAAGGGATTTAAATTCTTAAAAAGAATCGAAACAAAATATAAATGTCATCAAATAAATATCTGTTGCTAATAAAATTGATAGATCTAAAGTCGCTGCAAGCTATAGTTAATTGGCCTCAAAATTATACTGTGCTGACTAATCTCCTTAAATCATACACAACCCATAAAAACTATAAGAGAAAGCTTCGATAGTTCATCAATCTTTAAACAAACTTCACACTGTCCAAAATCATCTACTATCCTCTCCTATTGATTATAATGCATCACCCAAGTCTTCTAATTAAAAATATATATTGTCTGAATAAAGTGAGTGCTTCTAAGATTTACTAAAGGATAAAAAGCAGCCGTAGCAAACAACTTAGTTAACTTAAACCTAATAGGACTAATCTCATAGATAAATTGAAAAAATTTTATCAGAAAATGAGATTCTATTTAAGCAACTGAATAATGGCAAAATAATAAATATTTACTGAAGGAATAAAAAGCGAAGCTAACATCATCAGATAACCAATAATTGCGTTTAAGAAACACAACACAATCATTAATTTCAAGCATATCATTCAGAGCATGCTTAATAATGATGTATCTAAGTTCTAATCTTTAATGAAAGGTATTTACAATCATATAAATTAGATAGTAAATTTTAGTATCTAAATCAATATGACATCTTAGGCAATACAATTTTAATAACTACAGTAAAATTGTATGGGTTCCACAAGAAATATGATGAATTATTGAAGGAATTATTAAAAATGAATCCAGACCCTTTTATTAAAAATAAACTAACAGGATGGTCAGCAATGGATGAATCTCTTTCTTAAAGATCAATATATGCAACAGCCCTATTATTCTAGCAATGCTACAGAAATAAAAGAAATGAGTTTTTAAACTAATTTCATGAATTATCAACTGTATTACAATAGGTTCCCAATTTTCAATTAGATATGAATTGGAATTTTGACAGTCCTTTACCTTTTATCAAATTATTAGCTCCTAATGATACCATTAAATTATACAAATATAAATAATAATTAAGATTAGATAGTACACTTGTAGGTTTCTCTAAATTACAATGCAAACGGAGAAACATGTCTCTGTTGTTTAGACAAAATAAATTATTTTAAATTAATAGATCCAATCAATTTTACACAGATCCATTAGAAGAATTAGATACAGAAGAGAAAAAATTAATTATTTATGATATTTTACACAGTGAACCAGTGAGTGGAGCATTGGATATAACAAGTTGCACAATTAAACAATGTGTAGATTGGAGGGGCAGAAAGATAATTGAATAAGTAGGATAATATTCTTGTGAAAAGTACTCATTTTTATTAGATAGAGATTTGATTTAAAGATTACATATAAAAGTTCATATTTGAAGAAAAGTAATGATACTCAAATCAAATTCGCAGTTGAGAGAGAGCTTTACGAAGAATGGATATTAAATGACGTCTTGCCTAATACAGATCTACTATAAAATTAGAAACCTAAAGAATAGAATGAAACTAGGACAATATCCCTATGGATTTGCAAGAATCACTCACTCCAATTTAAGGACTTTGCCAATATTGTGTCTCTATTGGCGAAAGGTAATCATTTAATGGAAAAGTTGAATGGGTTGTTTCAAAGGCCAGAGATGCAGGAGATTATTGAATTAAACGGATTTCCAATTAAAGTGCAGATTCCTTTCCAATTTTCAATCCATGCCACGATTTAATGCTGCAATTTTGTGTCTCTTGAAAATGCAGATGAGTTATTTACTATTCCGAATATTAAATATATGCCTAGAAAGGAAGCATAAAAAATACTTCAGACTAAAAAAAAAAGATTATTGTTGGCGAATCTATATTTGTGATTATAATTAAATTATAAAGTAGAACATTATCCATTTTGATTTATGAGTTTCGAATTCTACATTATAATAATTCTAATTTAATATTTAACGTATGCATAAAACCTATCAATTTGACTCAAATCAGAAACCAAAAATTAAAGACTTGTGTTAAGAAGATAAGAAGAAAATCGGAAAATTAATTAAAAGACTTGCACAGGAGAGGGAAGAAAAAGAAATACTGTTAAAAAAATTAGCATAGATGCAATAATCTGAATAAAAATAATAAAGATTGCAGACTGAAATCGAAAAACTTGATGAAGAAATTTCGCAGTTACAAGATTAAGAGCAGTTATCATAATATTAAACTCCTTAATTATAAACTCAAAGCAAATAAAAGTTATTGTATAAATTTGAAAATGATGATGAAAATATTCATCAAAGTCCGAACTTTAAAGTCCTTAACCAAATTCAAGAAGATCAAAGTTCCTCCTTTATCATACCTACCACGCAAAGAGATTCTCCAATTAAAATCGATTAATAAATCCAAACTTCTATTGTTCAATAATCACTTTAGCAATAACCAATAGTATAATAAAAAAAGTCATCAAAAAAGAAGAAGGAAATATTAATGAAGAAGATATAAGAATTTGAAAAGATCGTAAACAGATTGAATTTTTCAAATGAATAGGTATTATATTTTATTAATTTAGAGCATCGAATTAACTACCAATAGAAAATCTGAGGAATAGAATTCTTAATTGAACAATACTAGTTATATTCAAAATGTATTTTAGAAGTTATTAAACATTGATTAATAATCACTTCCAACTTAATAAACTGTTAGATCAGAATAGTAGAGTGAAATACAATAGATATAATTTTAGTAATAACCAAAATAATATAATGAGGATGACCTCATCATTTAATTATTGAATTCAGATGCTTCATCCTATAAACCCTAAAATTAAAATGCTTTCAGTTCTGCCTCCAACGTTTCAATTTAATAAAAAAAGTAATAACATAATAGGACCAATTCAACGATTATACAAAATGAGAATAAATAGAACAAATAAAAAATAGTATTTGATCAAATTCCTTCCCCTATTGTATAAGATGCATATTGCAGGAATGTCGTAGAAAAATATAACTCATTATTGCAAGAATTAAACAGACAGTAATGAATTCACTTGAAAATCATCGATAATTCACAAAATCTATATTTTAATATATTCATCCTAAATATTTCTAATTTTTTATTGATCTTCTTTAGATTTATAGTTTTATATAAAACAAACTAGAAATCTTTCTGATTTTAGTAAACGTAATCAACACAAAATGACAAATGTAAATTAACCTCTTATTAATCATTTTAGCTATTAAATAGAATTCCAACACTTTTGATGAACTACTTCTGATTCTTGATTTAATATGGTTACTTATAGCGTTCAAATAATTATGAATATGGAGGAGGTATATGCGTGATGATGGCTGTGGGCTTCTGATATTTATTATATAAAATTTAAATATTTAGATATTAATTTTTTAATGGTTAATCTCCGTCTATAGAAAAGATTGGCATCAACACAATTGAAGGTTGGAGTGAACAGAGTTTGGTTAGATCCAAATGAAGCTAGTGAAATCAGTCTTGCAAATTCAAGAATGTCAATCAGAAAATTGATTAAGGATGGACTCATCATGAGAAGATTGAGAACAATTCATTCAAGAGCAAGAGCAAGAAGATTCCTTGAGGCTAAGAGAAGAGGTGAGTGATTGATATTGATTACATTTTATTAGGCAGACATACAGGTACTGGTAAGAGAAGAGGTACAAGAGAAGCTAGAATGCCAACTAAGGTACTTTGGATTCGTAGATAAAGAGTTTTGAGAAGATTGTTGAGAAAATATAGAGCTGCTAAAAAAATTGATAGATAATAGTAATATAATGGTGTATGACATTGCATAGATATCACGAATTCTATTTGGCTTCAAAGGGTAATCAGTACAAAAACAAGAAAGTACTAATTGAGGCTATCCACGAAACCAAATAGGAGAAGGTCAGAGTTGATAAGATTGAGAAAGAGTAAAACGATAGAAGAGAGAAGAATAAGGCTCAGAGAGTAAAGAAGACTCATAACAAGTTTGCAGCTGAATGATATGAAAACAAATAAACAGTACAATAATAAACATATACATTATTCTTATTTAAGTTTGATTTCTATTTTTTTATATTAAAAAAGATTTAAAATTTTTTAGGTGAAATGGTATGTTAAGCAATTTAATTTAGGCTGATAACAAAGTATAACCTGCTGCATAATAAGCTAAAGGAAAGAAAGGAAAGAAGAATTAAGGAGAAGATCAACCTTAATAAGCAGTAGCCACATTGGGACCAAATGTAGCTGGAAATGAATTAGTTTTCGGAGTTGCTCATATTCTCTCAACTTGGAATGATACCTTCATTCACATTACAGATTTGACAGGCAGAGAAACACTTGCAAGAGTCACAGGAGGAATGAAAGTCAAATCAGACAGAGAGGAATCATCACCATATGCAGCAATGCAAGCAGCTAAGGATGTTTATGAGAAGTTGAAGACACTCAAAATTAATGCTTTACATATTAAACTGAGAGCTAGAGGAGGTATATCTATATAAATATCAATAACCCTCAGGTGTTGATACCAGATAACCAGGACCAGGAGCTTAGGCTGCTCTCAGAGCTCTTGCTCGTTTGGGATTGAAGATTGGAAGAATTGAAGATGTCACTCCAATTCCAACAGATTCAACTAGAAGACCAGGAGGTAGAAGAGGAAGAAGATTATGAAAAGTAAAATTACATTACATTATTCAAATACAATAACAATCACTTTTTTTAAAGCA